CCTTGAACCCCTCAAAGCCATCCATGAGAGAGTTGGAATCCTCTTCTCCCAAATTCCTGTCAATGTTGATATCTCAGCCTCTTCCCATGAATCACAAATGTTCTTCATGGCATCAAGAATGGTGAATCCAGGCCAGGTGCCCTGTTTCACGCCTGTAATCACAGCACTTTGGGAGGCCAAGCTGGGCAGATCATTTGAGGTCAGGAGTTCTAAACCAGCCTGGCCAATATGGTGAAACACTGTCTCTGCTAAACACACACACACACACACACACACACACACACACACACACACAGAAAAGGCTGGGCACAGTAGCTCACACCTGTAATCCCATCATTTGGGAGGCCAAGGCAGGCGGATTACCTGAGGTCAGGAGTTCGAGACCAGCCTGGCCAACATGGTGAAACCCTGTCTCTAATTTTGTACTAAAAGTACAAAAATTAGCCAGGCATGGTGGTGGGCGCCTGTAATCCCAGCTACTCAGGAGGCTGAGGCAGGAGAATCGGTTGAACCCGGGAGGCGGAAGTTGCAGTGAGCTGAGATTACACTAATGCATTCCAGCCTGGGCAATAAGAGTGAGACTCCGTCTCAAAACATTAAAAAAATTAGTGGGCTGGGCGTGATGGCTCACGCCTGTAATCTCAGCATTTTGGGAAGCTGAGGTGGGCGGATAACCTGAGGTCAGGAGCTCGAGACCAGCCTGACCAACATGGAGAAACCCCGTCTCTACTAAAAACACAAAATTAGCTGGGCATGGTGCCACATGCCTGTAATTCTAGCTACTCAGGAGGCTGAGGCGGGAGAATTGCTTGAACCCAGCAGGCAGAGGTTGCAGTGAGCCGAGATCGTGACATTGCACTCTAGCCTGGGTGTCAAGAGTGAGACTTCGCCTCAAAAAAAAAAAAAATTGGTGGAGCGTGGTGGCAAGGCAGGCACCTGAAGTCCCAGCTACTCAGGAGGCTGAGGCAGAATTGCTTGAACCTGGGAAGTGGAGGTTGTAGTGAGCTGAGATCGCGCCATTGCACTCCAGCCTGGGCAACAAGAGTGAGAATCCGTCTCAAAAAAAGAGAATGAGCCGGGTGTGGTGGCTAATCAACTTCTCCTCTCTAGCTATGAAAGTCCTAGATGGCATCTTCTTCCAGTGGAAGGCTGTGTCTTCTACGTTGAAATCTGTTGTTTAGTGCAGCCACCTCCGTCGATGATCTGAGCTGGATCTTCTGGAGAACTCGCTGCAGCTTCTCCATCAGCACTTGCCGCTTCACGTTGCATTTCTATGTTATGGAGACGGCTGCTTTCCTAAAACCTCATGAACCAACTTCTGCCAGCTCCAAGCTTCTTCCGCACACTCCTTGCCTCTCAGCCTTCACAGAGGTGAAGGGAGTCAGGGCCTTGCTCCAGATGAGGCTTTGGCTTAAGAGAGTGTTGTCTGGTTCCATCTTCCATCCCGGCCACTCACTCTGTCCACCTCAGCACTGAGGCTGCTGCTTTGCTGATTCTCACTCCTGTGTTCACTGGAGCAGCACTTTTCCTTCCCTCAGGAGCTTTCTCTTTGCATTCACTGCTTGGTGATTTAGTATAAGAGGCCTCGCCTTCACCGTCTGGCCTCTGACGTGCCTTCCTCACTAAGCTCAGTCATTTCTAGGTTCTCGTTGAAAGGGATGTGCAACCTTTCCTTTCACTTGAACACTTAGGGGCCATTGTAGAGTTAGTAATTGGCCTAATTTCCATATTGTTGTGTCTCGGAAGAGAGAGGCCCGAGGAGAGACAGAGACACGGGGGATGGCCGGTGGGCTGAGCAGCCAGAATGCTCACATCCACTGATTCAGTTCCCCGTCTTACGTGGGTGTTGCAGAGACACGGGGGGATGGCTGGTAGGCTGAGCACCCAGAATGCACTGATTCCACATCCACTGATTTGAGTTCACCGTCTTACGTGGGTGATGTTCGGGATGGCCGGTGGGCTGAGCAGCCAGAATGCTCACATCCACTGATTCAGTTCCCCGTCTTACGTGGGTGATGTTCGTGGTGCCCCAAAGCAATTGCAGCAGTCACACCTTAGCTCACGGATCACAGATCACCGTACAGATTTAATAATAGAGTTTTGAAATATTGGGAGAATTACCAAAATGTGACACGGAGACACAAAGTGAGCACTTGCGGTTGGAAAAGTGGCGCCGTTGGACTTGCTTGGTGCGGGGTTGCCAAAAGCCTTCACTGTGAGAAACAAAAGATCTGCAAAGTGCAGTAAGGCAGAGCACAGTGGAGCGAGGGCTGCAGCCTGGGTGCGTGGTAGGCGGCACCACCCAGGCTTACATGCTGTGATGTTGGCAAGATGATGTCTCCTCACCATGCATGTCTCAGGACATACCTCTGTCATTACGTGGTGCATGACTGTTTGTTTTCACAAAATTTTTATTATACCATTTGTACAATTAAGTGTGACATCCTGAGCAATTTTATTTATTTATTTATTTATTTATTTTTTGAGTCAGGGTCTTTGTCACCCAGGTTGGAGTGCAGTGTTGTGATCTTGGCTCGCTGCAGCTTCAAGCCCCTGGGCCCAAGCAATCCTCCCATCTCAGTCCCCAAGTAGCTGGGACTACAGGTGCACGCCACCATGCCTGACTAATTTTTTATACTTTTTGGTAGAGACAGTTTCGCCGTGTTGCCCAGGTTGGTCTCAAACTCCTGAGCTCAAGCCATCCACCTGCCTAGACCTCCCAAAGTGCTGCTAGGATTACAGGTGTGAGCCATTGTGTCCGGCCTCAATTTTCCATGTCACTCAAATCTGTTTGAAAATGGAAGAGGGAGGAGCCTGTCAGGGTCAGGGGCAGAGGGAGCTGGGCCCTGGGGCCACCCTCCTTGGTGAGGCAGCTCCAGCCCTTTGCTGAGGATCACTGAGCATCCACAGAGCATCTGCTGGACTAACCCAGGAGGGTGGTCTCAGGGTCAGCAGGGGCAGGTGTGGGAATGACCACAGTCCAGGACAGTGACCTGCCTGCCAGCCAGGATCACCCCTGGGGAGTGCCCAGCTCAAGAGTGGTTGGCCCCTTGCCAGGAGGACGCACACATCAAGGAGCACTGTCAGGAGGAGGGGAATGTGCAGCCCGGAGCGTGGGGCCTGGGACTTCCAGGGCATGCAGATATCAAAATAGTGTTCACATAAAGGTCGATGACAGGCTGAGAGGAGCGGGGGCTACTCCACAACCTGCCCCTGGCCCGCTACGGGCCCAGCAGAGCATTCCCATTACAGCTAGCTGCAGGAATCCCGGCAAAAGCATCTTTGTCAAGAGGCCCCGTTCCTTTCTGCCCTCCCATCTGAAGGAGGAAGTGAGCGGGCTTTTCTTGGGAGGAAAAGGGCCCGGACCCCTCTGAGCCCCGTGGAAGCTGGTGTGAGCAGGTGCAGCACCGCCTGAGCCCCACTTGATTCCTCCGGGACCCCAGCCCAGCAGTCCCCTCCCCACTGAGCTCATTGTATTGGGATGCCCAGCAAGGGCTCAGCGTTTCTGAACGAGGGCTTCTGAGCTTACAGGTTCTCACCCCTGCGTGACACTGAGACCCTGCCGCGTGAGACGTCACTCTGAGAAGGCGACTCAGGGTGCTGGGGGCCTGGACAACAGCAGCCTCCAAGTGCGTGAGGCTGCATGTGCCCCGGCGAGTGTGTGGGCACAAGGGCATCAGCAGTGGGTGCGAGTGTTGGCAGAAGCTGCCAGCTGTCCTTCGTAATTTTCTGAAATGAAGGTGAGGGCAAATGTAAACTTTCAAACATTTTTTTACTTTGACTAATTGAAGAATTAGCAGCCCAAATCAGGACCCCACAATAAAAATAAATCTGGTCGGCCGGGCGTGGTGGCTCATGCCTGTAATCCCAGCACTTTGGGAGGCCGAGGCGGGCAGATCGTTTGAGGTCAGGAGTTTGAGACCATCCTGACCAACGTGGTAAAACCCTGTTTCTACTAAAAATACAAAACTTAGCTGGGCGTTCTGGCGGATGCCGGCAATTCCAGGTACTCGAGAAGCTAGGGCAGGAGAATCGCTTGAACCCAGGAGGCGGAGGCTGCAGTGAGCCAAGATCACGCCATTGTACTCTAGCCTGGGCCACAGAGTGAGACTCCGTCTCAAAAAAATAATAAATAAATAAATCTGGTCTAGAAAATCCTAACATCTGGATGTGAACCAGTAGTCCCAAAAGGCGGCTTCTAGAGCACAGATGGCCCCAAGGCTGTGAGTGTCTGAGAGCTGTCATCGTGGCGTGTGGTTCTGAGGCTGGCATGGGGCACGGCGGGGCCATGCCTAGGCGCGGGTCTTGGCTGCAGGAGGGGCTGGGGCTTGTTCTGCCACTCCCTGGTTTGAGTCTCTCACAACAGAGGGGCTTGGCCTGGCCTGTGAGCCAGGCCTGGTGGGTGTTTCCTGCTGTTGGAGATTCCTGCCTGGCTGAGAGTGCTCCAGCTGCTCCTCCTTGGTCCCCCACAGACACTGGTCCCTGGGCATTGACTCCTGTGGCATTGACTCCTGTGGGTTGGGCGGCCGGTTTCACACTGTTTTGCTGCTGCTGAGGTCTTGAGTGAGTGGAGGGGTGGAGGCAGAGTTGAAGCAGGGGGCCCAGGATCTTCCTGGGTGGCTTTGTGTGGACAGCAGGTGTGCCTGAGATCAGGAGGGCCGCAGACACCTCTCTCTGTCCGTCTCAGTCCCTCATGGCCGTGCCTGGCACTGGCCTCCCCAGCACAGCCCCATGCCCTCTCCTTATGGCCTGTTCACAAGAACTCCCATGTTCCCCTCGTCTGTCCACCTGGCTCCTGTGTCCACCTCTCGTATCTGTCCCCTCTCCCCGGTGGCCACGTTTCCTGTCCACTGGATGCTCCCTGCCCTGTGGCTGCCCTGCCGAGGCCTGCCCTTGCTGTCACTGAGAGAGAAAGCCCTTCAGAAACCCCAGCCCACACGCCAGGGCACCGGGCTCCTTCCCGTCGTGGCGCTTTCTAGAACCGTGCCCCTGGCCTACAGGTGATGCAGCACCCGTCTGAAGGCGGCCAGGTGCTGAGCCTCTGCAGCAGCATCAAGGAGGCCCCCGTCAAGGCAGCCGAGATCTGGATCGCCTCCCTGTCCAGCCAGCCCATTGACCACGAGGACAGCGCCATGCAGGCCGGCCCCAAGGCCAAGTCCACGGGTGAGTGCGGTGCCAGCCTGCTCCTGCCCCTGCCGTGGGGAGGCCATCTCCCAGCCACGGCACATCGGGTGGCAGAAACCATCCAGCTTGGCTTAAGGAGTCGGAGGTCTGGAGCACGAGTCAGTTGCTCTCCTGTCTGGAAGCCACCGCAGAGGCATGCGCTGTTATGGGGCCCGGGCTGCCACAGGTCCCTGCTCTGTCCCCCTGGCTGCAGCTCCTTGGTCGAGAGGCCTGAGTCCTGAGTGTCCTCAAAAAGAGATGTGGGGTCGCACTGTGATGCCCTCGCTGGTCTGGGTGCAGGGCCCGGCATAGGCAGGTGCCATGGCTGCCGCCACCCCAGTAGGGTCACCAGCACCTCCCCTACTCCTCAGGCAGGGGGGACCCAGTTGGCGCAAATCCAGGCTGAAATGCCAGCCAGTAGGAGCGGCCGTGGGGGCTGGAGCAGTTCATGTGGCCCCCTTTTGCCCTCCCTGGCCCTCCCCACTTCCTGCCACCCGCAACCTAGACTGTTGCCAGTGGACTCTGGGGGCTCGGGGCCACAGCACCTGTGTCTGGAGCCCCTCTGTCCTGCATGGATCCACCTTCTCGCTGCCCCAACTCTGTGTCCAGGGAAGCCTGGGGGTGGCCACCGCCTGGTTTCCTGGGTGGAATCTCACGGCACCCTCCCTTCTGTCTGTTCATTCCGCAGATAACTACTCTGAGGAGGAGTATGAGAGCTTCTCCTCCGAGCAGGAGGCTAGTGACGACGCTGTGCAGGGGCAGGTGACCTGGGGCCGGGGCTCCGCGCCCTCTCCCGGCTCACACCGGGTGTCCTGGGGTCTGTGGGGTCCTCACCAGCCGTCACCAGGGCCTCGTGAGGGTGGGTGAGCCACAGGCCCGGCCCCTGGTTGGCCGCCCGTCTCTCGTCTCCCGACCCCAGGGGCTCGGGTTTGTGTGCAGGTGGCTCTGAGAGTCTTGGGAAGCAGGTTGGCTCTCAGTGCTGGGCCTCTCCCATCGCCCACGCTGAGGCTGGTAGGGTCCTTCCGGCGCCGTGCAGGCTGCCATGGCCTCAGCCACTGCGTGTGTCTCTGCAGGACTTGGACGAGGACGACTTCGACGTCGGGAAGCCGAAGAAGCAGCGGAGATCGATTGTAAGAACGACGTCCATGACCAGGGTTGGTGGAGACTGCTTCTTTGAATGCTGGGGAAGGCGAGGGTGGGGGAGGATGCTAGGAGCCCGGGCGTGGTGGGGGGCACGGGCGTGGGAAGTGAGATCTCACCCCAGGTCACAGCAGCATGTCCCGTGGCAGACCCCCTGGTTGCCAGTCTCCTGCGTGCCACTCTCTCCCCCACCCCACCACATCTCATGACTTCAGCCTTGTGTGGCCACTAGGCCCAGTGGTCCCTGAGCAAGGCTGGGAGGCTGGAGAGCCCCAGGGAGGCCATCCTCCCCTTCATCCCCTCAGGTGCCCACATACACCTGAGTGGGCTGGTTCCCTCGCTTTTGTTTGGGATCTGGCCTACCTGGCCCCACGGTCCCCAGGAGCTTGATGGGGCTGTCAGGCATTTTTTTCCATGAGGAAAGCTCGGGCAGCTCTTTCCTCAGAGGCCATGTCCAGCACCGGCACAGAGGGCCCACCACCTGGTGCCTGGACACCCCAAGGACAGGCACGGTTCCAGGGAGGCCAGCACAGGTGGCAGGGGAGTCCTGTGCCTGGTGCTGACAAGGGATGTGGGCACAGGCCAGCCCAGACACCGCCGCCTCCTCTGGCAGCATTCAAGGGGGTACTGTGGGCAGACAGTGCCGGGGATGGGCGAGCTGCCCCAGAGTGGTGAAGCTGTGTCTTGCTGGCCTGGAGATCTGCCCCCACTGTGCAGAACACCAGCTTGTGCCTCCATTCCAGGGCCCCCTTGGGCCCAGCTGCTGTGGAGGGAGGGCGTGGGCTACCTTTGTAGGGTTGGCCCCCGAGAGGGTGGCTGAGGGTCCCGCTCGCCCAGTGACTGGAGCCGAGGTTCTGCAGTCCAGGGTGGCACGAGGCGCCCATGGGGCTCAGGCTCTTGGAGCACGCACTACCCCACACTCACCCACCTGCCCACCCCACATGGATACTGAGCATCTTCCTTCTGGAGTTGGCCAGGGACTTTCCTGGGAGGGGGTGCTGAAGGAAGGGCCCCGTGAGCCTGGGAAGGGCTGCAGAGGTTTCTGGAAGAACCATGGGGTTTGCACACACCTCCCCGGGTCCCCCTTGGCCAGGAACGGAACTGTCAGACCTCAGGCCTGTTGGGAAGCTTCTGGGAGCTACGTGCGAATCCATCAGCACTGCTGGTGCTGAGGCCTTGCTGCCCTCCCACGGCGGGCCTGGGTGCGGCCTCCCTGCGGCCTGAGGAAGTGGCTCCAGTGGCGGGTCTGCGGCTCTGGCAGCGGGTCTGACTCTACACCGCTTGTCTTGCAGCAACAAAATTTCAAGCAGAAAGTGGTGGCACTGCTGCGGAGGTTCAAAGTGTCCGATGAGGTGAGTGCACCGTGCCTTCTGCTCCCAGCCCTCACTGAGGTGAGTGCACCGCGCCTTCTGCTCCCAGCCCCCGCGCCCACAGCAGCGCCGGGGCAGGAGGAGGCCTCTGGAGTCTGTGTCGGGCCATATCTGGTTCTGCCGCTCACTGTCTGCACGGCCGGCCAGTATCACCGTGAGGTGCAGGGACAGCGGCACTGCCTCCCAGGCTCCAGGTCGCCCATTGGGTCTCTGCTGAAGTACGAGTCGTGAATACACTGGAAGCTGGGAAGTCATTTTCAGGGGGCGTAACATTAGTTTGTGTGTTTGTTTTTTTATAAATAGACTTTAGCTTTTAGAGCAGTTTTAGGTTTACAGCAAAATGGAGCAGAAAGTACAGAGTTCCCATGGACTCCTCCCCACCTGACAGCCCCCCACTATTGACAGTCCATGGGTTTTCAATGTTCATCTTTTACCTTTTCTCTAATCTCGGAATTTTCTACAATGAACTTGCATAATTTTCATACTGAAAAGAAAAACATAGGTGGACTCAGTGGCTCACACCTGTAATCCCAGCATTTTGGGAGGCCAAGGCGGGCAGATCACTTGAGCCCAGGAGTTTGAGACCAGACTGGGCAACATAGCGAAACCCTGTCTCTACAGTAAAATACGAAAATTAGCTATGGGTGGTGGTGTGCACCTATAGTCCCAGCTATTTGGGAGGAAACCTGGTAGGCCAAGGCTGCAGTGATTGGAGATCGAGCCACTGCACTTCAGCCTGGGCAACAGAGCGAGACCCTGTCTCAAAAAGAAAAAAGAAACACTCGGCCGGGTGCAGTGGCTCACGCCTGTAATCCCAGCACTTTGGGAGGCCGAGGCGGGCGGATCATGAGGTCAGGAGATCGAGACCATCCTGGCTAACACGGTGAAACCCCGTCTCTACTAAAAATACAATTAGCCAGGCGTGGTGGCGGGTGCCTGTAGTCCCAGCTACTTGAGAGGCTGAGTCAGGAGAATGGAGTGAACCTGGGAGGCGGAGCTTGCAGTGAGTCGAGATTGCGCCACTGTAGTCCAGCCTGGGCGACACAGTGAGACTCCGTCTCAAAAAAACGAAACAAAACAAAAAAAAACACCCAAATCTCGGCTCACTGCAACCTCTGCCTCCTGGGTTCAACAGGGTTTCACCCTGTTGGCCAGGCTGGTCTTGAACTCCTGGCCTCAAGTGATCTGCTTGCCTCGGCCTCCCAAAGTGCTGGGATTACAGGCATGAGCCACCACATCCAGCCTTTGTTGTTTCTTTAATGTCAGAAGAAAAACGTGCCTGGGTTCAGGACCGGAAGTGAAGAGGTGGCATTTAAGCATTTCAGCCCTGAAGCAGTGTTGTTGCCTGTCGGCCCGAGAGCACGCTGCCTGTAGATGGCGCTGTGTCCTAACATACTCGGTATGCACCTGGATCAGCCTCCGGGGCACACACTCAGCGAGGCTGTCAAGTGCATGTGCCGAAACAGGTGATTTGTGGCCCGGTGGGGCAGGCAGCATTTCTGAGAACAGCGTAACATCACCAACTGGCTGCAGAGGAAGGGCACCTCCACTACTGGGGTGGTCCTCGGGCCCCTGTGTCTTTTGGTTTGCATCTTGGATTGGAACATTCCCAAGTCCAGCTGAAGATGAGACTTGGCCAAGTCGGCTTCCTGGCCTGGGGCTTCCTTGAGCCCTGTCGAGCACCTGTGGGTTCAGGGGTGGGTGTTCTTGGTTGAATCTTGACTGTGGGATTCTGCACTCACGTGGGCAACTGAACTGAGTCCCAGAATGCATTTCACTTACACAGATTATGGTTCCAAGACTCACAACCCAAACTGTGAAAAGATGGGCCAACATCACAGACACCGTTCAGGGAGAGAACATCATTTTCATAGGGATAATTGCGCAGTTTTGTGTGAAATTCACACAGGTCAACACAGTACGTTAATGGAGCGATGGGATCTCTTTCCTGATTTTCCACCCATCCCTTTCCTGCAAAGACCAGACCATCTCCACTGCAGCTCTGAACCTGTGTCTTGGCCACTGGGAGCATCACGCCTGGCACTGCCCCCTGCCCAGGACTTCACAGCAACCCTCATTGGGCAGGAGATGCACAGTGAGACGAGGTTGCCTGCCTGGATTACAGGCCTCTGAGATTGTTCATGCTGCTATAACGAAATACTTTAGACTGGGAAATTGATAAACAACCAAAATGTATTTCTCACAGTTCTGGAGGCTGTGAGTCCAAGTTCAAAGTGCCAGTAGATTTGGTGTCTGAGGGCCTGTTTCCCATAGAGGGCACTTTAGTGTCTTGTGTGGTGGACGGGACTGACAAGCTCCCTCAAGCCTCCCTCACCAGGGCACCGAGCCCGTTCAGCAGGGCAGAGCTCGGGCCCTAACCACCTGGTGTCCCTCACCAGGGCGCCGAGCCCATTCAGCAGGGCAGAGCTCTCGGGCCCTAACCACCTGGTGGAGGCCCCGCCTGCTAATTCTAGCACCTTGGTGGTCAGGTTTCAGCATAGGAATTTTGGAGGTATAAACGTTCACAGCCCCCAGGCTGACCACAGAGCACCGGCATCCAGGCTGCCCTGTGCCCAGGAGCAACACAGTGGGTCTGGTGAGGAGGAGAGCAGCGCTCTGCTTGGGACCCGTCCTGTGAGGATGAACCAGAGTGAAGTCTGTTCCCTACAGCCCTCAGCTTCAGCTCACAGGGAAAGCTTCCGCTGGGGGCTGCCTTCTGTATTTTTCATTGTAAAAGGTGGCACACCTAGCGAGTCACTTGATTTTCAACAAGGGTGCCAAGTTCATCGGAGAAAGTATCTTTTCACAAAGAAACTGACGCTTGACAGTGCACACCATGTGCAGAATTCAGCTTGACTGGATCATATTCCTAAATGTAAAAGCCTAAAATTTAAATTACATAGATTCTAAGCCTTAAAAAATATGAACTTAAATCCTGCACTAATGCCACTGAACTATACACCTAAAAATAGATAAAATGGAAAATATTATGTTTTATATTTTGTAACACAATAAACAAAAGTAGAAATTTGCTTTCTGAAAGATACTGTTAAAAGAATGAAAAGCTGGCTGGGCGTGGTGGCACACGCCTGTAATCCCAGCACTTCGGGAGGCCGAGGTGGGTGGATCATGAGGTCAGGAGATCGAGACCATCCTGGCTAACATGGTGAAATCCCATCTAAAAATCCAGAAAAATTAGCTGGCCGTGGTGGCGGGCGCCTGTAGTCCCAGCTACTCAGGAGGCTGAGGCAGGAGAATGCAGAGCTTGCAGTGAGCTGAGATCGCGCCACTGCACTCCAGCCTGGGCGACAGAGCGAGACTCCATCTCAAAAAAAAAAAAAAAAGATAAGCCACAGATTGACAGAAGATATTTGCAAATAACGTACCTGGTAAAGGTTTGTATCCAACAGATATATTAAAAACTCTCCAAACCCAGGAGGAAAAGCAACCTGATTTTTAAAATAAGTAAGACTCATACAGTGAAACTATGAAACATTTTTTAAAGAAAGAAGATATAAATAAGTGGAAAGATGTCATATGTTCATGAATTGGAAAACTTAGTCTTGTTAAGGTGGCAATACTCCCTAATTTGATGTACAACTTCAACGCAGTGCCTATCAGATTCCAGCTGTGTTTTTGTAGAAATTGACCAGCTAAAATTTATATGTAAATGCAAGGGACTCAGGGCAGACAGAACAGTCTTGAAGAAAAAAGATTTATACTTCCCGATTTCAAAACATACTACAAAACCACAGTAGTAATCCAGACTGTGCGGGGCTAGCCCAGGGACAGGCATAGAGATCAGTGGAATGGAGGTGATAGTCCACAAGTGAACCCTTCCATTTATGGGCAAGTGATGGTGAACAAGGATGTCAAGATATCCATGGGGGAAGAATAGTCTTCAAGAAAGGTGCTAGGACCACTGGATATCCACGTGCACAAGAAGGAATTTCAGCCAGCTGTGGTGGCTCATGCCTGTAATCCCAGCACTCTGGGAGGCTGAGGCAGGCAGATTGCATAAGTCCACATAGTGAAACCCCATCTCTACTAAAAATACAAAAAATTGGCCAGGCATGGTGGTATGTGCCTGTAATCCCAGCTACTCGGAAGGCTGAGGTGGGAGAATCACCTGAGTTCAGGAGGTGGAAGCTGCAGTGAGCTGAGATCATGCCATTGCACTCCAGCCTGGGCAACCAGAGTGAGACCCTGTCTCAAACGAAAGGAATTTGGACCCCTACCTCACACTATATTCAAGAATTAACTCAAAATGCATCAGCGGCTCACACCTGTAATCCCAGCACTTTAGATGGCTGAGGCAGGTGGATCACTTGAGGTCAGGAGTTTGAAACTAGCCTGGCCAACATGGTGAAATCCTGTCTCTACTAAAAATACAAAAACAATTAGCCAGGCATCGTATCATGGCAGGTGCCTATAGTCCCAGCTACCTGGGAGCCTGAGGTGGGAGAAACGCTTGAACCCGGGAGGCAGAGGTTGCAGTGAGCCAAGATCACACCATTGCACTCCAGCCTGGGCGACAGAGTGAGACTCCATCTCAAAAGAAAAACAAACAAACAAACAAACAATCTTGAAATTGATCAAATATCTGCATCTGTGAGCTAAGATGATAGAACTCTTAGGAGAAAATGGGCCAATCTTATGACCTTGGGTTAGGCAGGGGTTTCTTAGATGTGACACCAAAAGCACAGGCGACAAAAGGTAAGTTTTCCTGGACCACAGCAACATTTTACACTTTTGTGCTCCAAACAGTGCCATCAAGAAAGCGAAACAGTAGAACAGAAGAATATTTTTTGCAAATCATGTTTGTGATAAGGGGCGTGAATCTAGAACACATAAAGAATGCTTATAACTGAAAAATAAAGACACAAACAATCCAGTTAAAAGCTGAATTGTCCATTGCTTTGAGAACGATGCAGTCTCAGGTGCCACGGAGCTAGGGCCCGCCCACTCCAGCCCTACTCACTGCTGTCTACTTGTGCCGAGAAGTCGACCAGGAAGCCACCTCACAGCCATGGCTTTTAAAGACACCAGAAGGACACCTCTGGAGCCGGTGGGGTGATTCCTTAAATTAGAATTACCCTGACCAGCTGCAATGTAAAATCCCTGAAGGTGTGTGCTGGCTTATCAGGGGCACGGAGAAAAAGAATCTCAAAGTGAAAGGACCAGCTCTGATGCCTGCCAAGACTTTGAGAATCACTAAGAGAAAAACACCTTGTGAAGGTTCTCAGACACAGGATCACTTCCAGACGAGAATCCATAAGCGGCTCGTGGACCTGCCTGGTCCATCCTGGATTGTGAAGCTGATTGCTCCATTGGAATTGAGCTGCGAGCTGTGATTGACATCACCATTGCAGATGCTTGAGCCAACTATTTTAATAAAGTGATTATCACTTGTCAGAACCAGGCATAGTGGCTCACACCTATAATTCCAGCACTTTGGGGGCTGATGTGGGAGGATCACTTGAGCCCAGGAGGTCGAGGCTACAGTGAACTATGATCATGCCACTGCACTCTAGCCTGGGCAACAAAGCAAGACCCTTTCTCAAAAACAAAGAAGAGTGAATTGTCCAATTAAAAAATGGGCAGCGGGCTGGGCGCAGTGGCTCACGCCTGTAATCCCAGCACTTTGGGAGGCCGAGGCGGGTGGATCACAAGATCAAGAGATCGAGACCATCCTGGCTAACATGGTGAAACCCTGTCTCTACTAAAAATACAAAAAATTAGCCAGGCATGGTGGCGGACGCCTGTAGTCCCAGCTACTCAGGAGGCTGAGGCCGGAGAATGGTATGAACCCAGGAGGTGGAGCTTACAGTGAGCCGAGATCGCACCACTGCACTCCAGCCTGGGCGACAGACAGTGCGAGACTCCATCTCCAAAAAAAAAAGGATAGGGATCTTTCTGAATAGATTTCTTCAAAGACACACAAGTAGCCAATAAGTACGTGATCATCATGATCATTATCACTGGTCATTAGGGAAATGTAAACCAAGCCACAATGAGACACTGCTTGATCCCCACTAGGATGGCTGGAACAAATGGAATACAACAGGGTGAAGTGTAACAGGGGAACCCACACACTGCCGGGGGAATGTGAGGTGGCGTGGCAGCCACAGGAAGCAGTTGCCAGACACCCAGCACCCCCATTCTTCAGTGTTGACTTCAGGGAGGTGAACACACACATGCATGGACCCACACAGACGTTCACAGCAGCTTCGTCTGTGACGGTCATAATGCCCGTCAGCTGGTGATCCGTTAGACTGGGGTCCATCCACTCAGTGGTGCACTGCAGAACCATCTGAAGAAGTTTATAAAGGAAAGAGGTTTAGTTGACTCAGTTCAGCATGGCTGAGGAGGCCTCAGGAAGCTTTCAATCATGGCAGAAGGTGAAGCAGGCACCTTATTTACGGGGCAGCAGGTCGGAGTGGGTGCGAGCAGGGGAAATACCAGACACTTATAAAACCATCAGATCTCGTAAGACATGCTCATTAGGAGAACAGCGTGGAGGAAACGCCCCCAGGACCAGTCACCTCCACCTGTCCCACCCTTGGCACGGGGGGGCTTATGGGGGTTACAATTCAAGGTGAGATTTGGGTGGGGACACAGAGGAACATGAAGTGTGCCACACTGGGTGGATGATGCCCCCCACCACCCTCAGAGCTGCAGGCAGCGTGATCCCTCTTAGATAGCACTCGGGAAGGGGCAGAACGTACAGGGACAGAGTAAGATCCGCGGGGCCTGGGGCTGAAGGAGGGGACGCACTAGAGGAGGGCAGAGGGGAGCCTCCTGGGTGTGGGGAGCAGCTTGTATCTTGGTTGTGGTGGTGGCTGCACAGTGGCCCACACCCGTCAGAGCTCACCTGCCTGCACCCAAGCCCTCCGTGCACCCTGGTGGCCCGGATGACTACCAGCGCAGGCAAGGTGGAGTAACATCACACACACCGGTACCTGGGGGCCTGGGGTCCTCGGTGATCATCCCAAGCTCCAAGACAGAAGCTGGACTAGGCCGGGCGCGGTGGCTCAAGCCTGTAATCCCAGCACTTTGGGAGGCCGAGGCGGGTGGATCACGAGGTCAGGAGATCGAGACCATCCTGGCTAACATGGTGAAACCCCGTCTCTACTAAAAATGCAAAAAATTAGCCAGGCGCGGTGGCGGGCGCCTGTAGTCCCAGCTACTCCGGAGGCTGAGGCAGGAGAATGGCGTGAACCTGGGAGGCGGAGCTTGCAGTGAGCCGAGATCGGGCCACTGCACTCCAGCCTGGGTGACACAGCGCGAGACTCCGTCTCAAAAAAAAAAAAAAAAAAGAAGCTGGACTACAGCCGTGCTGAGCAGTGGGGTTTGGTGGCCGGGCACCCGCCTCCTATTGTTCCCGCAGACTCTGAGGTCTCGGGTGCCCCCAACGGGGCAGCATGGGCCACTGCAGGGAACTCCTGCCTGGTCCTCACGCTTGCCTGGCACCCATGCAGGTCCTGGACTCGGAGCAGGACCCTGCGGAGCACATCCCTGAGGCGGAGGAGGACCTGGACCTCCTATATGACACGCTGGACATGGAGCACCCCAGCGACAGCGGCCCCGACATGGAAGACGACGACAGCGTCCTTAGCACCCCCAAGCCAAAGCTGCGGTGAGCCCTACTGGGCAGGCCGGGGCGGGAGGAACAGCCATTTCAGATGCCCTGGCCACTCTGCGGCCACTCCAGCAGACCCATGTCCAGCCCTGGGGACGGGGTGGGCAGGGCCAGCTGCCTCAAAGCCTGGGAAGGCTCTGGTGGCTGGAAGGAGAGGTGTGGGGCTGCATTGACAGACAGCTCTCCTGTCATAGGCCAGGCGGTGCAAGCTCTGGGCTGGGGAGGACTGAGAGGGGTCCCCCAGGGTGCTGGCTGGGCTGGGCCTGGCACCCTGTTGTAGGGGATCCGTCATTGGGGGATGCCCTGGGAACTGCAGCAGGACCTCCGTCCACTCAGGTGGGGAGTAGAGCCCCCATGCTGGGTGCGCCTCCCTGAGGAGGAGGCGGCAAAGGCCGGTGGGGAGGGAGGGCAGATGTCTCTGTGGCTGGGTGGGAGGAGGGGACTGGCTGGAGGGGGCCTGGCCTGGGCAGGAGGAGAGGATGCAGGGCAGACAGCTCTGTGCATGGGTCTGGATGTGGAGGCCCCGGTCAGCTGGGGGCAGGGAGGCAAGCACACCAGGCAGAAGGCAGGTGCCAGGCTCTGGGCAGCTGCTGAGGAGCCAGAGACCGCAGTCGAAGCCAGAAGGCCTGGCAGACCTTTTGCTGTCATGCTTTTTTAACCTAAACAACATGAAGGTGGCCTTGCTGCATGTTGGAGGCACGGCCCCAGTTAGCCCTGCGGCCATGCAGCAGCCTCCACCTCACCTGACCTGGCGCGGCAGCCCCAGCTCCGCTTGCTGCTGCTTCAGTTGCCAGCAGCCACCATAACAGGTGACTGCAGATGTGGCCACCAAAAACAGCCTCTGTTCCTCCTGTTCTAGAGGTTGCCATCCCGAGGCTGTGGCCTCATTCTTGGCCAGGGTCTCGCTGGGCTTGGGTGGAGGTATCAGTGGCTGCCCTGACTGGGGCTCTGAGGTCACGTGGTGCAGGCCTAGTGTGGTTGTTGATGGAGTTCAGCTCCGTATGGCTACAGGACGGGGGTCTGGCCGCCCTGCGATGCCTGGTGGCTGGCGGTCATTCTTGCCTTCTGGCAACTGTCCTCTTTTTTTTTTTTTTTTGAGACGGAGTCTCGCTATGTCGCCCAGGCTGGAGTGCAGTGGTGCTATCTTGGCTCACTGCAATCTCCGCCTCCCGGGTTCACACTATTCTCCTGCCTCAGCCTCCCAAGTAGCTGGGACTACAGGCGCCTGCCACCGCGCCAGGCTAATTTTTTGTATTTTTAGTAGAGACGGGGTTTCACCGTGGTCTCGATCTCCTGACCTCGTGATCCGCCCGCCTCGGCCTCCCAAGGTGCTGGGATTACAGGTGTGAGCCATCGCGCCCGGCTGCAACTGTCCTCTTACTTTGGCCCAGGGTCCCTCCTCCACCTTCGGAACCAGCAAGGCCCAGTCAAGTCCCCCTCACACTTTGGGTCTCCCTGGCCTTCCTGCCTCATCTCTTCTGCCTTCAGCTGGAGAAAGTTCTCTGTCTTTAATGGCTCATGTGATTCCGTAGGAGACACCTGTGTGGCCCAGATCATCTCCCATCTTAAACTCCGTGGTGGTGACTATATCTGCAGAGCCCTGGCCAGCTGGCATTCATAGTCTGGGGAGAGGCGTGTGCGTCTCGGGGCTATGATCTGGAATGGGCACACACTGCAGCAACGAGTTTCCGTGTAGTTTTGTCACCCAGGGTGGGGCACCAGACACTGCATAAGTCCTGTCTGTTTTTTGGGGGGGCGGGGGAGTTGTTTTTTGAGACAAGGTCTTGCTCTGTCACCCAGGCTAGAGTGTAGCTGTGCAATCACAGCTCACTGCAGCCTCAACCGCCTGGGCCCAAGCGATTCTCCCACCTCAGCCTCCTCAGTAGCTGGGACCAATGGCACACGCCACCACACCCAGCTAATTTTTATGTTTTTTGTAGAGACAGGGTCTCCCTATGTTTCCCTGGCTGATCTCAAACTCCTGAGCTCAAGCGAACCACCTGCCTTGGCCACCCAAATTGTTGGCACTACAAGTGTGAGCCAGTGCGCCTGGCCTCCTGTCCAAATATTTTCACTTGAAAGGTCTTTTAAGTCTCATTGAATCCATAGGTCTCCCTTCCTCCTTCTTCTGTGTACATATTATATGAACCAGAGATGAGACATTTGGCTCGGATGGCCTGGATCGGCCAGATGGTCTGCAAGGGCCTGGTTGGTCTGGAAAGACCTGGATGGTCCGGAAAGGTGTGGATGGTCTAGATTGGCCTGGTTGGACTGGAAAGGCGTGGGTGGTCCGGAAGGGCATGGGTGGTCCGGTAAGGTGCGGGTGGCCTGGATCAGCGTGGATGGTGTGGAAAGGCCTGGGTTGTCTGGAAAGGCCTGGATAGTCTGAATAGGCCTGGATGATCTGGAAGGGCCTGGGTGGTCTGGATGGGCCTGGTTGGTCTGGAAAGGCCTGGGTGGTCTGGAAAGGCCTGGGTGGTCTGGATGGGCCTGGGTGGTCTGGAAAGGCATGGATGGTCTGCATCTGCCTAGATGGTCTGGAAAGGCCCGGGTGGTCCGAAAAGGCATGGATGGTCCAGATTGGTCTGGAAAGGCGTGGGTTTTCCAGAAAGGCGTGGGTGGCCTGGATCAGTGTGGATAGTGTGGAAAGACCTGGGTGGTCCAGAAAGGCCTGGATAGTCTGGGTTGGCCTGGATGGTTTGGAAGAACCTGGATGAGCCTGGTTGGTCTGGAAAAGCCTGTATGGTCTGGGTTGGCCTGGGTGGTCTGATCTGCTGGTGGGTCTGGAAGGGCCTGGATAGTCTGGACAGGCCTGGATGGTTTGGAAGGACCTGGATGGGCCTGGGTGGTCTGATCTGCTGGTGGGTCTGGAAGGGCCTGCTTCGTCTGATGTGCCCTCGTTGTTTTGTAGAGCATGTTCGCCTGTTTGCTGCAGGCTGACTGCAGATCCCAGGGCTGCCCTCCAGCAGGATTGGCCCGTGGAGCTCTCCCCAGAGCCCCTTCATGTTTCTGGCAGCCTTGCCTGGAGCTAAGGCCATGAGTTTCAGGGATGTGTGTTTCCTGCAGCTGATATCAGAGTGGGTGGAAGAGCCAGGAAGAGGCAGCCAGGTCGGCCCAGGGCTTGGCGTTGCCAGCTCCAGAATTGTTCTGTGCCCTGTGCTGCGGTTGGCGCGAGCAGGGTGTGCGCTGGCACGGGCTCTTCTCTGGACCCAGCTCTGCTCTGCCGTTGGATTCTCCAGTCTGTCCCTCCAGGTGTGGTGGGAGAACTGCGCTTCCAGTGCAAGAAGGGTCCTGGAAATTAATGTTTCCCCGTCCCCTGTTCCCTGAGCTAGGCCGTACTTTGAAGGCTTGTCACACTCGAGCTCGCAAACGGAGATCGGGAGCATCCACAGCGTCCGCAGCCACAGGGAGCCCCCCAGCCCGGTGAGTGGGGCCACACTGATCTCCCAGAGCAGACCGTGGTCCGACTGGGCTGTGGTGTGGCCCACATCTCCCAGCACGGCCTGGGCCCAGGGCCCTGCCCAGCTGTCTTGGAGCCACTCTGCGCCCGCTATCTAGCACACTGCCACGCAGCTGCCCCGGGCCTCCCCTGAGCCCCAGCATCCCCAGCCCAGAAGTCAGTGCCTTGGCACCTGTAGCTGAGCACAAGCTGATTCCCATCTCCTCCCCGACAGGCTGACGCGCCCGAGAAGACGCGGTCCCTGGGAGGCAGGCAGCCAAGCGACAGTGTCTCTGACACGGTGGCCCTCGTAAGCAGGCTCGGGCCACACCCACCCGTTCCGCACACCAGGCACGCCAATGCTGCCTTTAAGGGTCTGACCCAGAGGGGTGGGACTCACATGTAGGTCCTCATGTCACACCTGGTGTGCAGAGGTGGGGTCAGCCCTCAGGGGTGGCCAGGCCGCTGGATGGTCAGAGTATCCCAAAATTCACTCCACTTTTGGGGTCAGGGCACCTGGATTCCCCCACCCCCAGGGTCAGGGGACACTGGATTCCCCCACCCCCAGGGTCAGGGCACACTGGATTCCCCCAACCCCAGGGTCAGGGTACACTGGATTCCCCCACCCCCAGGGTCAGGGCACACTGGATTCCCCTACCCCCAGGGTCAGGGCGCCTGGACCCCCCACCCCCAGGGTCAGGGCACACTGGATTCCCCCAACCCCAGGGTCAGGGTACACTGGATTCCCCCACCCCCAGGGTCAGGGCACACTGGATTCCCCTACCCCCAGGGTCAGGGCGCCTGGACCCCCCACCCTCAGGGTCAGGGCACACTGGATTCCCCCACCCCCAAGGTCAGGGTGCCTGGACCCCCCCACCCTCAGGGTCAGGGCACCTGGATTCACCCCACTTTCAAGGTCAGGGCACACTGGATTCCCCCCACCCCCAGCGTCAGGGCGCCTGGACCCCCCCACCCTCAGGGACCTCCAGGTGCCCCAGACTCACCCCACCTTCAGGGTCCGGGTGCCTCGATTCCACCCGCCCTCAGGGTCAGGATGCCTGGACTCACCCCACCCCCAGGGTCCAGGTGCCCTGGAGTCACCCCACCTTCAGGATCAGGGTGCCTGGACTCACCCCACCCCCAGGGTCCGGGTGCCCTGGACTCACCCCACCCTCAGGGTCCAGGTGCCCTGGAGTCACCCCACCTTCAGGATCAGGGTACCTGGACTCACCCCACCATCAGGTGGATGGCACCCAGGAATGCCTGGTTCCCCCTACTGCATTGCATGGGGTCTCCTTAGTTAGGGGGTCCTGGGCCCAGGGCAGGTCAGGTCCTGGGAGGCTGGGTGCTGGTCACCCTGCATGGCCTGGATGGGAGCCCTGTGGTTGGAACTGAGCTCAGCCAGGCTTCCTGGTCAGTGTATGGCCGGGTCCACATATAGGAGCCACAGCCTAGAGAGGCCTAAACCCTCACCCAAGCCAGAGGCCACATGGCTGGAGAGGCTGCAGCACGGGTGCGGTTTCCATGGGAAGCTCCAGGGATGTCTCTGGTCAGCAGGGTGTGCCGGGCCCGAGGGAGCAGCCTGGACAGCCTGAGGACAGCCCCGAGGCTGAGGCCTCCACCCTGGACGTGTTCACAGAGAGGCTGCCGCCCAGCGGGCGGATCACCAAGACAGAGTCCCTTGTCATCCCCTCCACCAGGTGATGGGGGCTGGGCGGCTGGGCAGGTTGGCGATGCAGCTCTTAGGGGAGGGGCCATCAGGGGCATGAGTCGGGGTGGGTGCCTGTCAGACCAGCCTGATGAGTTCCCTTGGGTGTAGACAGCAGACTCAGGGCCTCGTCCCTCTTAAAAAGGAGAAGCAAACCCCCTGCCCCAGCACTGGGTGTCAAGCCTGCAGCCCCACATTCCGCCCTGTGTGTTTGAGGTCAGGGTCAGGCGATTGGGTATCAAGCCTGCAGCCCCACATTCCGCCCTGCGTGTTTGAGGTCAGGGTCAGGCGATTGGGTATCAAGCCTGCAGCCCCACATTCCGCCCTGCGTGTTTGAGGGCAGGGTCGGGCGTGTCTGCCCTTCTGCAGCTGCCCCCACAGCCCCCTGAGTAGCCCCTGCCTCAGCCAAAACACACACATCCACCAGCTTGATTCTTCCAGAATATCAATTTCATGTTTCTGTGATATTTGGGATTTTTTCCAAAGCAGTGAGTCTGGGCACTGACTTTCACCTTACGGCGGCACCCAGGTGCCTGTGTCCGTGCTCTGGAGCCAGGTCGCCCTGGCAGCCTCAGCGCCCTGCACTGGCCTATACCTGGCTCTGCCCAGCTCCTGGCCTGGGCAGGGAGGGTGAGCTCAGTCCTCACGGTGGCTCCAAGGCTCCTGGCCTGGCTTGCAGTCTCACAGGCAGAGCTGCGTGGGGTCCCACTGGGGGCACGGCCTCTCTTGTACTCAGCTGCTGCTACGGTCCTCCCAGGGCTGGTGGCCTCTCTGTGTGGCCTGTGTTCCCACTGCCCATCAGTCGGCCCTGTGCTCACCCTTCCCTGTCCCCACCACAATGTGTAGGCCACTGCAAGCCTGCCCCTGCCCCTGCCCCTGCCCCTGCCCCTGTTCCTGCTGCTGCAGCCACTTAGCCTGTCCTGGTCTCCAATAGGTCCGAGGGGAAGCAGGCTGGCCGACGGGGCCGGAGCACGTCCCTGAAAGAGCGGCAGGCAGCGAGGCCCCAGAATGAGCGGGCCAACAGTCTGGACAACGAGCGCTGCCCGGATGCCCGGAGCCAGCTACAGGTGCAGGTGCAGGTGGGGGTGGAGGGCGTAGCATGACCAGGAGGCAGGGCTCATGGTCACCCTGGCACCAACCAGAGCAGGGCAAAAAGAGAAGTGCAGGGGGCCAAGGTTGCTGGGAGCATGCAGAGCATGCCTGGGCTTTGGAGGGCGCCTGCTGCACAGCAGGGCGGCTGGGTCATGGGTTGGTTTGTCAGGAAGGCCATGTGGACCCCAGGGCGAGTTCTGGTCCTTCTGCTGCCCTCCCTGGTCCAGGGCGGCATCATTGCTTGGCTGATATAGCCCACGGGTGGTCTCCAAGCTGACCAGCTCTCTTCCTGCCACTGAGCCTCTGTGCACAGCTGCAGGGGGAGCAGGGGCACTGCAGACACCAGGGCTGGGGCGGTGGGGATGGGCGCTGTGCTTCTCTTCTGGGTGTGGACAGGGCTGTGTGCCTCCAGATCCCCAGGAAGACTGTGTATGACCAGCTCAACCACATCCTCATCTCCGATGACCAGCTTCCCGAAAACATCATCCTCGTCAACACCTCGGACTGGCAGGGGCAGGTAGAGGTGCAGTCTCGTGGAGTGGAGGGTCAGGGTGTAGGACAGAGGAGAGTGGGCTCCTGAACCTGCCCCCAACCTGGCACACCCAGGTGCTGGAGCTGCAGGCTGTGGTTTGCCTGGACATGCCTGGGGTCTCTGGAGACCCTGAGAGCTTTGGTGAGGGTCAGGTGCTGGGGGTGGCCCAGGCGGCTGTGCTGAAGTCAGCGTCTGCCTGTCCTCTGCCAGTTCCTCTCCGATGTCCTGCAGAGGCACACGCTCCCCGTGGTGTGCACATGCTCTCCCGCAGACGTCCAGGCAGCCTTCAGCACCATCGTCTCACGGATACAGAGATAGTGAGTTGGGCTCCACCCTGTACTCACCGCCCAAGTACCCCTCGGGGTCCCTGCACCCCACCTCTACCCATTGCTCTGGGGCTGGGCGCGTTCTGCACCTGGGGCTGTGGCTGGTGTCCACAGAGGCTGACCCATGGGCTCCTTGCAGCCTGGCCTGCCCTCAGTTGTGGGCGGGAGCAGCAGCCTGGCAGGTGTCCTGCCACACTGGAGGGGTGGCCGCCTGGCCCGTCCTTGGAAGCCTGGGCCGAGGTCATGACTGTGTGGCCCCTCAGCCTGAGCACGTTCGGGCATGTGGGGGTCCTGGGTTTGGGCAGCTCCAGGGCAGTTGTGGCATGAGCGGCCACAGGCACAGAGCCCCCTGGGCTCACACTGGCATCCTTGGACGGAGGACGGCTCCCCTGAGGCGTCTGTCCCCTCTCCGTCCCACCTGCCTCTGGATTGCAGCTGCAACTGCAATTCCCAGCCCCCGACCCCCGTGAAGATCGCCGTGGCGGGAGCGCAGCATTACCTCAGCGCCATCCTGCGGCTCTTCGTGGAACAGCTATCCCACAAGACGCCCGACTGGCTCGGCTACATGCGCTTCCTGGTCATCCCGCTGGGTGAGCACCCCGCCGTCCACCTGGGCCTGGGCACAGACGCCATGGGCGGTGTGGCGTGGCGTGGTGTGGCGTGGTGTGGTGTGGCGTGACGTGGTGTGGTGTGGTGTGTGGTGTGGTGTGACATGGCGTGGTGTGGTGTGGTGTGTGGTGTGGTGTGACGTGGCGTGGTGTGACGTGGCGTGGTGTGGCGTGGTGTGGTGTGACGTGGTGTGGGGTCCCTGCTTGCCGCCCATTTGTTGTTTTTAAATGTTTGTTTGATACAGTAACACTTTGTTAATTTTAATTATATGCAGGATAACTTGATTGCCCTAAAACAGCCATATTTGGGTCAAGATAAAGCCATTGCCCTCTGAAAGGGCCTGAGCTGGGTGTCCCCTCCATCAGTCGCTGTGATAACTCAATGCCAGTTTCGATTTCCCAAGTCAGAAGTGCAAAGCAGGGCTGGTTATTAATCCTCTCAAATCATCCAGGTCCTGTGTCGTCGAACTCTGTTACTTCTTTAGATCCAAACAATGTGTCTTTACCACAAAACCAACCCATCCAGCCTTAATCTGTTGAAAAGGCCCAGAGGTCCACAGGGTCTCTCCCTTGTGGCCCTCACGATGCCGACGTCAGAGCCCTGAGCCAGCCGAGGCCTCTGCACGGTCATATGTGCCCTGCTGGGCCTTCCTCAGTGGCACCCAGGGCTCTAGGACCTCAGCTCAGGGCTGGGACTCCTTCAGCGGGGCCTCAGGCATCCACCAGGGAGGGGCAGTGGTGGCTTTCTCTTTCGGTGGCAGGAAAGTAGGCTTGTCTGGAAGGCAGCAGCACAGGCGCGGGGTCAGGTGGCCCAGCTTTTGGGCTGCGGTGGGAGCCTTGCAGCTTCAAGTCCCCCGTGGTGACACCAGCCCCACCCCTGGCATGCAGGCTCCCACCCCGTGGCCAGGTACCTAGGCTCTGTGGACTACCGCTACAACAACTTCTTCCAGGACCTGGCCTGGAGAGACCTGTTCAACAAGCTGGAGGCCCAGAGTGCGGGTGAGGCCCGGGCACGTCCACAGCCCACGCCACTGCGGGAGGAAGGGGCCCTGGTCTCCCCAGATGCCATGCCCAGGAGGCCCTGCACCTGCTCAGGCTCAGCCTCAGGGAAGAGGCCATGGACAGGGCCCGCTGGGGCCTTGGCTAGGACGCCTCCTATTCCCCTGAGCTTCGGAATGTTGGAAGCTGTGGGGCTTGTCCGGGAAGCGGCAGGCACAGCCCTTCAGGTCTTCCCGCATTTGCCCTGGTACCGCCTTGAGAGTAGAGGACCAGGGCCCCTCAGCCACAGCCAGCAAGCCCTGCTGCACTTCGGGGTGTGGGAGGCTTGGGTAGGGCACCGGGGAGGCCCGGCTCAGCCCCACCTGAAACCCCACCTGGCGCCAGCCTCATCCCCCACCACCTCCTCCCCCTGCAGTACAGGACACGCCGGACATTGTGTCGCGCATCACCCAGTACATCGCAGGGGCCAACTGTGCCCACCAGCTCCCCATCGCAGAGGCCATGCTGACCTACAAGCAGAAGAGGTAACAGGGTGGGCCCGGGTACCATGCCACAGGCTGTTACCAGCCACCAACCCTCCGCGGGCCTCCCCACACACTGTTGGGCTCAGCCTGGTAGGCCGAAAGACCCTGCACCGGGCTTAGACCAGAGCCTAGGTCAGCCGGGCACCTCCGGGCCTTCCTGACAGAAGGCGCTTCCCCCCACCCCAGATCTCTCATAGTAAGCGCCGTTTCCACACCTATTTCTGTGCATGTTGAAACCCCGCGTGATGAGAAGTTGACAGGATGGACAGGTGTCATGGGGCTAGGGTGGCAGTGGCCCAGCTCCTCTAGTCTGGGCACCTGTTCCTTCCACAGACTGGGTTTCCCGGGCTGGGGAACCGAGGAGTCCCTGGGCCTCAGGCCCCGTGGGTGAGTGATCAGCCTGTGTCCTCACCTGGCCCAGAGCAGGACAGTGCTCAAGAGCCCCGGGCCGAAAGCCCTGCACAGACCTGTCTGTCCCACCCGGCGCCTCCTCCCTGCACGTCCGGCGCCAGCTGTCCCACACTTCCCTAGACTATGGGGGAGAGAGCTGAGTGCAAGGCGCAGAGCCGGCGCTCAGGGGCTCTCCCACACAGGAACCCCAGCGAGGTGGGAGCCACTGAGTGCCCTCGGCAGTCCCCGGAGGGCTCCTGAGGGCATCGTAACGTGTCTGTGTTTTCTCTTTTGGTGGCTTTCTGAAAAGGAAAAAGCATTTTCATTTTGACTTTACCTTAAGGTATGGCTCTCTGGGTCTGCCTCCCACCCTGTCTGTCCCCAGGCTGGTCTTTAGGGCTTGTTTAGCAGCGTCACCATCTGGATCACCCTGCTGTCCTGTCTCCGGACTGGGAGTCAGGCCCTGAGGGCCACCAGCTGCAGGCTGAGAGCCCGCGTGGGGGAGGGCAGGTGGCCCCAACTGGAGTCACTTGGTGCTGACGTGCACCCTTTTCCGCCATCCAGTCTCTCACTGAGTCAGGAAAGCAGCAGATGCGCCCTCCTGTCCCCGGGCCAGGCCCGTGTGCTGGGACTCCACCCCAGAGCCCTGAAGCCTGCAGATCAGCCAGGCAGGCCTTGCCTCCCCTCTGGTTTGGCCCTGGGTTTTGGTTTAAGACGTGGCCAGGTTTAGCCTCTCCTCATTTTAAACCAGGAGCGAGTGGCTGATGTAGACACCAGGGCCACCTGGGCCAGGCTGTGCCCCAGGCCCTTCATGTTTGTTAACCTGGCAGCAGCCTAGCAGGGGCACTGGTGCACGCCCTACACATGGGGACGCTGAGGCAAGTAGATAAGGAGCAGGCCCGGTGACACGGCAGTCAGCGGCTGTGCCCTGGGCTGCCTACACGCTGCAGAGCCTGGCTCCCAGGGCTCCCTTGAGCACCCGGGGCCAGCAGAGAGGGCTTAGCAGCATCTTGTGGCTCACCTGGAGATGGAGCCAAACGACTGAGACCTCCAAATGGGGGTGAAGAGCTTTTGTTCTGAGGCAGCTTCACCCCCTAAAACCTTCCATGTTAGAGCCAAGTCCCAGGCACCCCCCGAGCTGCCCTTTCAGACAGAGCCATCCCTTTTCCTTGGCCAGGTGTGTCCTGCTGCAGGGTGGGGGACCCTGCCGGTCCTCCCATGGGGCTCGTTCTCCGCTCCGTGTCTTCTGCCCTGTGTGAGGTTATTTGCTGTCCTAGGAAACACACCCCCACCCCCCACCCCAGTGCAGGGTAGTTGGGTCCCTGGGGCCCCCTTGCTGGAAATACTGCAGGCCTAGGAGCTGCTCGAAGTGGACAGCCTGGGACCACCCACAGCTGCAGGGCTGGGCGCTAGGAAGACACAGGAAGGGGGCTGAGCATCCTACGTCTTGTCCTGCTAAACAAGCCTTTGCAGGTGAAAGACCAGCCATGGGGGCCTCTCTCCTGCTGACCCCCGGCGGCCTGCGCCCTTGTCCCCGGCTGTGGCACGAAGAGCCTGCAGCATGCTCTGGCTGCCCGGGCTGCCTCAGGCTGTGGATGCAGCTTCTTGTCTCTCCCAGATCAGCTCTTCTGAGCAGCAAGCCAGGGCCTTAGGGGACCCTAACACCCACTCCCACCCTGCTCCTGCCCCTGCCTCCGCGTTACAGGGGTGACACTGGCTGCCTCCTCGTTACAGGGGTGACACTGGCTGCCTCCGCGTTACAGGGGTGACACTGGCTGCCTCCGCGTTACAGGGGTGACACTGGCTGCCTCCGCGTTACAGGGCTGCCTCCGCGTTACAGGGGTGACACTGGCTGCCTCCGCGTTACAGGGGTGACACTGGCTGCCTCCGCGTTACAGGGGTGACACTGGCTGCCTGGGGCCCTGGAAGGAACCCAGCGAAGGCCATGAGTGTCTTACCTGCTGTCTCTACCCAGAGGAGGGTCAGTCGGGAGACTGACAGAGGGCAGGTGGCAGGTGGTGGCACAGCCCTTGTGGCGGGGGACCTGTGCAGAGTCCTCTCCAGCCAGGCTCCCCTGCGAGAGTCCCTTGTGAGATGACCCCTGCTGGCCTGCCCTCCTCTGCCCAGAATGGCATTCCTTCTATGAGGGCAGGCCAGGCCTGGAGGGTGGCCACAAGCCCCAGCCTGCCCGTGCAGCACGCATGGGTGAAAAGGGCTGCTCAGGCATCCGGCAGCTTGCCAAGAGCCATGCAGAGTGGCCCCCAGGGCATCTGCGCCCTCCGTGCCTGCGGGGCCTCCCCACGCCGCGGTGGTGTGCTCCTTACGCTCCTGACCACTCTGCCTCCATGGACATGTGTGTGCCTCCAGGGTCAGGGTGAGGGTCTCAGTGTCCAGCTGGTGTCATCCCTGTCATATCAGCCCATGTCCAGGGCTGGGTGCTGTCTGCATGGCCCAGAGGTGCAGCTTGGCTTTGGGAGTTCCAGCAACATCCCTGTGTTGTAATGTCTCCTGCATTCGGCCCTTATGTGCCACACACTGCCCCATGGACCTCAGAGCAGAGCATGGATGGGAGACCACCCTGCCATGGCTGGCTCGGTGGGGGGTCTGGCTCGGCAGAGGGCAGGTGGCCCCGGGAATTGGAGCTACCTGTGCCCTGGGGACCAGCAGCCGCCACCTGCCTTCTGTGCCTTTTCACGTGCCTGGGAGGACACAGATGTCACTGAGATTTCCAAACACCGGTCTGCTCAACGAGGATAGTGGGATGTCAAGGGCCACGCCCAGGCACTCCTGCTTGACAGCTGTGGACAGAGCCAGGGTGCTGGGGGGCCAAGAGGTCGCCCTGCGCCGTCCTGAGGCAGAGGCGGGCCTGAACACTGGATGTGCATCGCTTTATGTTTTTTGAACTGGACAAGAAGAGGGGAAAGTTTATCTTTCAACTCTTTTTTCCTTAGAAATGGAACTAGGCCTGGGGCATCTTTAATGGGATGGATGAAATCTGTAGGTGGCTTCATCCAGATGCATTTGCCAGGCCTTCTGCAGAGGGCGGGCCAGGAGCTATCCAGGTTGGCGTCCGGGGAGGGTGGGTCTTGCCAGCCGCCATCTCCTCACACTGGCGCTGCGAAGACAGGGACGGCACCTGCTGGGACCAGCCGTGGGGGCTGCCTCCTGGGAGTGTCCTCTGGACCAGCCCCCGGGCAGGGGCTGTTCTGCTCGTGGGCACACTTGGTGTGGAGCACTGGGATCCAGCCTCTGCCCTGCAGGGCTCTTGGGGAGATAGTGCTGCTGGTCCTGGGAGCTGGTGCTCCAGGCAGACGGCCGGGCTGGGCCTGTGGCATCCTCCCGTGGGCCTCTTTCCTGCAAGGGATTCTCCCTGTGCTGGACAACAACCCAAGGGAGGGCCCGGGCCCCTGGGCGAGCCCATGTCCTGCACCTGGTGCAGGGCTGTCCCTGAGGGGCACCCTGCTGGCCTGGCCATTCTTGTCCTGCCCCCAGTGCTCCAGGGGCAACAGGTGCTCCTCTGCAATGTGTGCGCACAGTCTCCACCTGTAAGACAGCCACTTGCTGGCATCAGACTCTGCAGTTTGGGGAAATGGGACAGAAGAGACAGCTGGGAGAACTGCCCAGAGAGACGGCACCAGTTGCTAATGTGGTCTGGCTGAGGAAGCCGGGCGGGGAGGCACCCTTGTCCCTAAGTGCAGGCCACGGGAAGCCTTGAGGCCAGCAGAGAGAAGGAAAGAGGGGAACCAGACCCATTCCACCACTCAGGATAGGCCTGCCCTCTGGATCTTTCCTGGGGCCCAGAAGGAGATGCCCCACCTCACCCTAGCTGCCGGCAGGGCCTCATGCTGTGCTGGCCCCTTGTCTTGTGGGAGAGCTTCCTGGGCCCGAGCCCAGGTTGCAGTGGCCACGGTCAGCAGGAGCCTGCGCGAGCCAGACCACAGGACAGCCCTGCTTGAGCCGCACACATCGGAGGGGAAGACAGACGGGTCCTCTCAGCAGCCCTACAGCTCCTTTACTCACACCCTTGGCATCTTCACGTGGACGGGCTGTGACCAGACCTCTAGAAGAGGCTGCTGTTATCTGCCAAATGTTGTATGGGGCCAAGTCCAGACAAAACCTCCACTGCCCACCGAGCACATCATCTCACGCGGGTCATGGCCTGGGGCGTGCTAGGCCTGCCTGCAGGCTGTGCTTGGGGTGTTCTGGTACAGTGGCCTCTCGTGGGCACGGACATTACCCAGATGGTCTGGAGAAAACCTCTCTGCCCTGGCTTTGGTGCTGCTGATTACCAGAGAGGGTCCAGGCTCCTCCTGGGAGTCCCAGGGCACCAGTAGCTGCCCTTATCCCGGCGGAGCAGGGGTGCCCAGCTTGGTGGAGCAGCGGAAATGTAGGCTGGACGGGGCTGAACTGGCTGCGTGGGCGTTGGGCACCTAGGATAGCTGAGTGAATCCCTCCGTGGAGCTCTGCCTTCTGGCCTGTCCTGACCATGGGTGCACAGAGACCCCTTTGTCCTTCTTGCATGTCAGCATGTCAGAAGGGGCCCAAACTTTGGTCCTGGGGGTCAGGCCAGGGCTGGCAGTGGTTTGGGATGGGTGGGGCTGGGACACACTGGGCAGGGCCGACTGGGGCAGGGTCCTGGCCCTGGGGCTGCGCCAGGTTCTCAGGCCAAGAGGGAGCTGTGCCCAACAGGCGGGGCTGTGCCCTGAGGAGAGCTTAACTGTCTGTTTCCTTGCTCTTAGCCCTGACGAAGAGTCCTCCCAAAAGTTCATTCCCTTTGTCGGGGTGAGTACTGGCCAGCTTGATGTGATGGGAAACCACATACCCGCCAACTTGTCTTTTATAGTCAGAACATTTGAGGATGGACTTCATATATTCCAGAACTTTCCCACAGATATGAGCTGGGGATTTGCCTTCCCATCTGGCCTCTCTCAAAGCTCGCTTCCTTCCCTACCGGAGTTGGGTGTGGAGCCAGAGGTTGTTGGCTCCCCCCAGCTCTGCCTTGGGGGCTGATCCACGGAGGCAGAGACAGTTCGGTGGGGCAAGACCTCAGGAACACCCAGCGTCTCGAGAGGAGAGACCCTGCCCGGGTTGGAGAGGGTGCCTCTGTCCTCTAGGAAGCCAAGGCCCCGGGAGCTTCCCAGTGTGCACTCTGGGTCTGTGGCCTGCAGTGTGTGGGTTTCAGTTCCTGCCCTGCCCAGGGTTAGGGCTGCTTCTGCCAGCCAGGCCATCTCCCTGCCAGCCCTGGGTCTCCACAGCCTATTCCCTGCCCATCTTTTCATCCTGTTGTGTGGCCTCCCTCCCACCAGGTGTCTGCCATGAGACAGACCCATAGGACCTGGCAGACGGGTTGGCCGGGCAGGGAAGGGTCTCTGGGCTCAGTTTCCCCACTGGTGGAACAGAGGCCTTTCCGTGCATCGTGCAGTGGTTGGGTCTGCTGAGGGCTCTAGGGTGATGGCTGGCCCTCTGGGAGGGTGGAGTTCATCTTGAACAGCGGCTGCCCAAGGAGCTTTCTCTGGTGACAAGAGTATGCCATGCTCGGGCACACAGGCCTTCCCATGCAATCCCACTGAGTCACTGGGATTCACGGTAAATCTACACAACCACCTGTGGCTCATGGCTGCTATGCAGGGCCTGGCAGGCCCGGGGCCTATCCCCATTGGTCTGCCAGGGTCCCTTTCACCAGCATACTGGTCTTACTGGACACGTGGTTTGCAGCTGCCCCGAGGGCCGCCTTTGGGAGAGAGCAGTCCCTCCTGCTGAGGCCACGCACCCTGAGCACTGTCTGTCCCCACGTGGCTGCTCCTGCATCATGGGAGTGGTGGCCATGGTGGGGAGGCAGGAGCCCCACTGGGAAGGCAGTGGGCTAGCTGAACCCCACGGCTTTCACCAGCCAGTGCCTGTTGTTTTCTAGGTTGTGAAGGTTGGAATTGTGGAGCCATCCTCCGCCACATCAGGTAACACCATCCCACCCTGAGGCCTTGTGAATGGCCCGTGGGTGGGCTGCGGGAGCACAGTCACTCTGGTCCTGCAGACCAGACCAACCCTTCAGGGCCTGAGAGCTGCCACATTCCAGTCTTGCTGTGGTGCTTCTGCTCTGTGGGGGGTTCATCCTCCGGGGACTGCTGTCATGAAGCCCCACATCAAGGCTGGCAGGGCCGTCTTCCAAAAACGGAGGAGAATCCGAGACCCTCCTGTCTCACACAGGCCACTGGGGACTCCCGCCCTGCCCACCCCTAGGGTCTGCCTGGCCTTCTGGCCACATCCTGCTCCAGAGGGCCTGGTGCCACCTGGGCAGAGCAACAGGTGGGCTCAGCCTGCCCTATGACTCCTCCCCAAAGGCGACTCGGACGACGCAGCCCCCTCGGGCTCTGGCGCGCTCTCCTCCACCCCGCCGTCCACATCTCCTGCGGCCAAGGAGGCCTCACCCACCCCGCCCTCCTCCCCGTCGGTGAGCGGAGGCCTGTCCTCCCCCAGGTAAAGGCACCGCGCAGCTCAGCACGTTTCACTTGCCCGCCCCACCACGTGCTGCCTGATTCAGTCATCCTCCCCCACATCACATCCACCTCCCAGGGCACCTGGCCTGTCGGCCACGCAGACAGAGGGGCTCTGCAGGACGGCTGGGGCCTCTCTGGCCACCTCCTGCCACAGATCAGGGGTTGGGGGCAGGACCTCTAGGGGACAGAAACTCCCACACAGTGAATAAACATGGGCGTTGTGCTGGGCTGTCTCTCAGCTCTGCACACATTGGGGCTTTTAAAAACAAGCTGAGGGCAGAAGGCGCAAGAGACGAGAGTCTCTAGGCGGTCCTCATGGGGTCGGCTTTGACAGCTGTGCTGAGGCCCCGCCAGCCCGCGTGGGTCTCTCTGAGGCAGACCTTACTCAAGTGTAACTAAGCCATGGAGGGTGTAGGCCCCAAGGCCAGGCATGGTGCTGGTGCTGCGTGCAGGGCTCACACCAGCAGACCCCGACCCCCTGCCTCTGTGTTTCCAACCGCTGGCTCCTTCCAGGCTGCGCCTGAGGGAGCTGGTTCACATAGGCCCTCAAGACTCCAAGGGACAGCTTGGAGAATGGGTGGCCTCCTGCCGCCAGGAGAGTGGGTGGACGGGCCCCCCAGGCCGGGGCTCTCCTGTCGCCAGGCTCCCTGTAATCTACACAGGATGGCTCCCTGTGATTTATGCAGGACCCTTCTGGGGGTGACTGGGCATGTGAACAGCTCCACAGAGCATGCTCCAAGCACCCTCCTCTGCTGGCAAGTTGGCACAGGTGCTGGCTGTCACCTCCTGGCCTGTCACAGGGACAGTGATGTCCCCATCACTAGGCCGAAGGATGCAGGTGTGAGCGCCTCCCTCTGCCTTTCCCAGCCAGGGTGTCGGCGCCGAGCTGATGGGGCTGCAGGTGGACTACTGGACAGCAGCACAGCCCGCGGACAGGAAGAGGGACGCCGAGAAGAAGGACCTGCCTGTCACCAAAAACACGCTCAAGTGCACTTTCCGGTCCCTCCAGGTCAGCAGGCTGCCCAGCAGCGGCGAGGCTGCGGCCACGCCCACCATGTCCATGACCGTAGTCACCAAGGAGAAGAACAAGAAGGGTGAGGTGGGACGGGCTATACGGCCACGTGGCACAGAAGGGCGGCTCGGCGGGAGCGGGCAGCTCGCAGTCAACAGGGATGGCAGCCTCCTGGCTGGCCTCGGGCAGCCCACGTGCGCAGGCAGGGGTGGGTGGGGTGAGGGAGCCTAAACCCTGAAGGCAATGAGGGTCAGGCGCTTCTGACCAGGGCCTCAGGCAGAGGCCAGCTGGGCGGGCAGGAGAGCAACTCCTCGGTCACCGTGGAAGGCAGGTTTCCTAGGTGAGTGGGGCCGTGACCAGCTGAGCCCCCAGTGCCTCCCCCACACGTACCCCCAGCCCTGGCCCTGAAGGAGCAGCAAGATGACAGCAGAGCCTCTTTTCTCCTTCCAGTGATGTTTCTGCCCAAGAAAGCGAAGGACAAAGATGTGGAGTCCAAGAGCCAGTGCATCGAGGGCATCAGCCGGCTCATCTGCACTGCCAGGCAGCAGCAGAACATGCTGCGGGGTGAGCGCCACGGGCCCCGGGGTCTGTAAAGTGGGACGTAGGTGAGAGCCTAGCAGGGCTGCTTTGGAGTCCACCATAGGAGCTGCGGCGTCTTGCTGTGACACGCACATTCCATGAAGCCCTCGGTGAAGATGACAGCTTTCCAAATGCTGAGAAAGAATTTTTCAACCCTTTTTGCTTTTTAAAAATAATGACTTGTTTTTTTGGTTTTTTTTTTTTGAGACGGAGTTTTGCTCGTTACCCAGGCTGGAGTGCAATGGTGCAATCTTGGCTCACTGCACTCTCCGCCTCCTAGGTTCAAGCAGTTCTCCTGCCTGAGCCCCCCAAGTAGCTGGGAGTACAGGTGCACGCCACTGCACCCAGCTAATTTTTTGTATTTTTAGTAGAGATGAGGTTTCACCGTGTTGGCCAGGCAGGTCTTGAACTCCTGACCTCAGGTGATCCGCCTGCCTCTGCCTCCCAAAGTGCTGGGATTACAGGTGTGAGCCACCACACCCAGCCTAAAAATAGTGATTTGTAATTTAAAAGCATTTTGGAGTTACTCTGCAAGTACCTGTTTCAGAAACAGCTCTGGGAGGCCTTCCTCTTTTTGAGCACGGGTCAGATGACCTCCAGGTCAGCATGGCCCTGTCTCCCCACAGGGGTCTCTGTTTTAAGGGGGCTCCCAGTGTCTTCTCCCCACCTGTGCAGGTGGAGATGGATGTGGACCAGCAGCGCCTGGCAGGAGGCGGTGGGGTCTGTTCCTCCCACCTGCAGGCAGCCCTGGGGGAAGTGCTGCCCTCCTCACCCCGCAGGGCTCTGAGGTGTGGAAGGGCAGGGGCAGGAACGGCGTCCCTCAGGAGCCAGCGTGACCCTGGAGCCCCCGAGTCCCTGAGGAAAGTGTTGGTGCCCTCCAGCATGGGGCTCCTTCTCATCCTGTACCCCTGGCTGCTACCCAGCCTGGTGGGCCAGGCAGGCAGGTGGACAGGGTGGGCAGGCGGGCAGGCAGTCAGGCAGCCCTCTCCCACAGTCCTCATCGACGGGGTGGAGTGCAGCGACGTCAAGTTCTTCCAGCTGGCCGCGCAGTGGTCCTCGCACGTGAAGCACTTCCCCATCTGCATCTTCGGACACTCCAAGGCCACCTTCTAGCCCCACCCACCGAGAGGCCCACCTCCCGCCCCACGCTAGGAGGGGCCCAGCTGCATTTCTGTTAACATTTCAGTTTACTACAGAGACAGACCCTTAAAACACAAAGAGAAACAGTCTTAAGTATGAATGTGCTCACAACCTGGAAACTAACGGGGGAGCTCCTGCCAGGAGCCGAATAACTGCTCTGCTTATTAACCCCAACGTTCGGCCCGGGGCTGGGAGGCCAGAAGGACGGTGCTGAGCTGCGGATCGCAGAAGGCGTGCTCTGGTCTCAGGAGCCACCCAGAGCCTCCGTGTCCTGTTCTTCCGGAAAGTCAGGACTCTGCTTCCTCAGGGAGCCTGGGGCAGGCGGAGCTCAGTGGCCTCAGGCCGAGGGGCCATGGGGCCGCTCAGTCCCGTTGGGGGTGTCCTGAGTTAAGCCTGGGGGGCTGTCCTGCCCGCCTGAGAGATGCCCCCAGCACCGCACACTCGTGGTTCCCAATAAACTCCTGCCTGCGGCGGAGGTTTTATAGCAGCAGATATTTTTAATGCTTTTAAATACATGTTCTAATGTAGCTGCCAAACATGTTGGTCTTCTGAAGTCCCCCTGGGGCTGGGCAGAGCCAGCAGAGCCTGCCCCCACTTCCCCAGCCCCTGCCCCACCCCGCCTCACACCTTCCCCACTCTTAGGCTGTTCTTGAAACACCGTGAGGTTTCCGTGTGTAGTCCCTGTCCCAAACTTAGCAAGCACAGGGGCCTCCACAGCCCCAGGCGGCCCCAGAAAATGTTCCAGAGCCCAGCTTCTTACACAGTGAGATGCTGCTGGTCTTGGCCTGAGGTGGGGGCCGCTTCCTCCCACTCTACCCCAGTGGGTATATCTGAGGCCAGCCATGTGGGTATTTGGGTTGAGATTCAGGTTTTGGTGAATGTGGGGCAGGCGTCCAGGTGTGTTTGTGTCACTTGCTGCAACACTGTGGCCTATGAAGATTCCAACAGGATGGTCTGACCAGAGGGGCTAGCACTCTGGAGTCGTGGGTGCAGCCAGGTACCCTGTGCAGGGCCTGGGAGGCTCTCCAGGCCACAGCCCTCAGAGAGCGCTGGGTCCCGTGTTGTGTGTGGGTTCCATGTCCTCCACACAGCAGGAGAGGGGCCTCCCTGACCTCAACACCTGCCCCATCAGTCTTGCTTCTCCCCAGCAAGCCTGCACTCTGGGGTCTCCATAGGAGCTGGGGAAGCTGGGGCCCTCCCAGGGACCCTAGTCGCCACTGGGGGCTCTTGGCCTGGTTTCATAAGATGGAGCACTGCACAAGGCTATGCTCAGAAAGCTGGTAAACGCAGGGCAGGGTGGGCCTCGAGCCTGGGCTGGAGGGGTCTCTACCCTTGCTGGCCTGAGAGATGGCCCATATTTCTTATTTGTGACCCCCTGCTCTTCCTGGCCACCCCCCCCAGGTGGCTGAACAGGGTGCTTTTGTTGTGGCGAGGGGCCAGGATGTGACCTGGGGTGCAGCCTCAGGCCCCAGGGTTCAGGCCTCAGAGGTAGCCTGTGTGCAGGGCTGCGGCAGAGCCCCAGCCCCTCCCAACCAGAGCCCCTCCAGAGCAGGGCCTCCAGGTTCACCTGGGACCAGGACCCTGGGGGCACACCCCAGGGTCGGGGAGGGGTAGGAAGGCCTCCCATTGAATCCTGGCTTCAGGCTTTGCCCTAAGAGGGGTCTAGAGTGAGGGTGTGGGCCCCCGGCTGATGGCCTCTGACCCTGGCAACACTCAAACAGGTGGGACCCTGACCATCTCGTTCCAGCCGCCCCCGCACTGGGCTGCAGAGCATCTGTTTTTCTGCTTTTCCAGTTTCTTTTTTTTTTTTTTTTGAGACGGGGTCTTGCTCTATTGCCCAGGCTGGAGTGCAGTGGCATGATCTCAGCTCACTCATGACCTCCACCTCCCGGGTTCAAGCAATTCTCCTGCCTCAGCCTCCTGAGTAGCTGGGATTACAGGTGCCCACCACCGTGCCCGGCTAATTTTTTGTATTTTTAGTAGAGACGGGGTTTTGCCATGTTGGCGAGGATGGTCTCGAACTCCTGACCTCAAGTGATCCACCCACCTCGGCCTCCGAAAGTGCTGGAATTACAGGCATGAGTCACCACATCCTGCCTGCTTTTGCAGTTTCTTTCCCAAAGGTCACACTCAGTAGGGAGATGAAGGCGGAAACATCCTGGCTGTGGCTTTCTGGCCTCGGAGTAGGTTTTAGAGGAAGGGGCCAGAGGCTGCCTAGTGCAACATGGCTGTGGGCAGCCCCTTTCCTGGAGCCCTCCTCCCTACCCTACAACCTCCCCACCTGGCTCCACAGCTCCATCCTTAACCCACGAAAGGGGAGAGCATGGGCAGAGTCTCCATCCAGCAGGTGGGGGTTCTGGTGGCACTCCCTGTGCCTGCTGCTGGCCTGTGGGTCTGCCCTGCACCCAAGAGCCCCACGGCCCATCCCCCCCACCATGCCCAGGACCAGAGAGGTTGGGCAGACAAGAACTGGGCTGTGCCAGCCCTCTGTGCCTCGGTTTTCCCACTGGTTACACAGGATGGTCGCGTTTCCCCTGCCTACCTCACAGAGCTGTTCTGAGGGTGCATGGAGGAGTACTGTCCCACCAAGGACAACTAGAAACCAAAGCCATCTGACAGCCAGTGCGGTAAGGGCGGGGGGTGTGTGTGTGTGAGGTGTGCACACCCCCCCGACCTTGGCCGTGGACTGGCCTCACAGGACAGCAGGACAGGAGGCCACCCCTTGCAGAGCTAGGCTCAGCCCCATCAGTCTCAAAGGTTAATCAGTCACCACAGAGGCGCCCCTCAGGCCTGTGGCCACTGTCCACTATTACATAGACAGACCCCACCCTTGCCCAGACCAGTTGTAGGCCAGTCCCGCCCTGCAATCTGGCCTGCTGCCTTCCTCTTCCATGTTGGTCCCCTTGGCCACTGTCTCTGGGCACGCAGGCCAGTGTCCTGGTTCAGTGCCTCGGCCAGAGCTGGGGCACGAGAGGGGCCTCTGGATGGGAGCTGGGGGTGTCTCCGCAGGGGACTGGCAGCCTTGCCACACCGTCCTCCTTCCCAGATGGAAAGACCTGAGTGCCTCTCGCCTTCCTCCGGGAATGAATTCCTCATGAAAATGACCAGGCCGCTTCTTCCGAGGGCCAGGCTGCCAGACCCACTCCTTTTCCTGAGCCGCCCTCTCCCCGAGACCTGTCCTGTCGTCCGCGGGTGTGCGGCCTGCAGGGGACTGAGCGCTGGGCTTGCCGGGCACCTCTGCAGTCTGACCCTGCGGGCCAAAGAGGCACCACTGTAGTTTCTGCAGACCCCCATGCGGTTCATTGTGCATTGTTTCGTTTCTAGGATGTATGTGTTGCTAGTTTTTCTTTTTTTTAATGAAACCCGGGATTAATGTAAATAGCTTTTTGGGGAGCGGATTCTAATGTCACGTACGTGACCGTGTGGACTATTTTAAGGTGCTGATGCAACACTAATAAACCTGGAGGGGCCGGCCCCGCCTGCAGTGTGATTCTCTCGGCCGTCCACCCCTTGGGGGCACGCGGCGGAGCAGCGCCTCCCTCCCGCCCACGCACCCTGTCCTGGGTCCGCCCCGCCACAGCCCTGCGGCCCCGCGCCCGGAAGTGGCCCGGGGCGAAGCGGTATCGCGCCGCGGGAAGGACGCAGGTCCGAAAGGGGCTCGGGTCGACAAACCCCAAGTTCAGGTCTGTGCTTCGGGAGATCCCGGAGGCCGACGCCCGGAAGAGCCCGCGCGGCGGTAGCTGCGATACACCCACTTTTGCGCCGGGGACCCCGAGGCCGCCCCCACCCGCCGCAACTGAGACCAGAACGCAGGCGCAGCGCAGACCGGAAGCGGAACCGGCGGGGGCGGGGCCGGTCGTAGCGGAAGTTCCGGGAGAGGTGCCGGCCCCTTGGGCCTTCTCCACCTGCGGTGGACCTCACCGGTTCCTCTGTGGCCCCTCCATCTGTGGCGGGCCTGCTCCTCCCTCTCTCTTCGGACGCCCGCGTACCCCCGACCTCTGACCGCCGTTCCCGTGTGCCCCGCCCCCCGCCGAACCCCAGAGTGCCCCCGGCCTCCAGCTTGTGTCCTCCTGAGCCCTCCTCCCCCGTCTCTCCGCAGACCTCGGCCGCGGAGACCCACCCCCTCGGAGAGGGCGGGCACGTAAGGGCTCGGGGCTGGGCCTGGGGTGAGGCCTGGGCCGTGTAGAGGGGAGGTCTCAGGGTCGGGAGCAGGGCGGTGGCAAGAGCTCTGGGCCTTTCCTTGAGAGCGTGCCCGCAGTGCTGGCTGAGGACTGATGCCCCTGGAACCGTTTGAGGGGGCTGGCAGAGGCGTGGCGTCCGTGCGGGAGGCTGCCGAAGGGTGACCAGGCTCCCGGGGTGGAGTCGGCCGGGGCAGAGAGGACAGTTTGGGAGGCTGGTGTGAAGAGCTGCGGCGGGAGCTGAGGGGATCCACTGCCCCCAGAGGGGTCGGTGATGCCTGACCACTGACTGGAAGGTGACCCTAGCAGACCCTGACACTGCCACCATCTGCCCCCAGGGACTCAGGTATTGGTGGGCACACGGGTGGCCTTGGGCTCCACCCCACCTCATGCTGCTCGTTCCCCCAGATCTCAGAGGTGTGGACAAGCAGCCTACTAGGGCTAGAGATGGACAGCAGGAAGCTGTCCCCTCAGGGGAAGAAGCTGGAGTCGCACCTCTCCCAAGAGCACAGGCGACCCCCACTGGGCCCGACAGCATCCTGGGGCCAGCCCAGTACCCAGAGCAGCGCTCAGCAGGGACTGCAGACTCAGGACTGGGTAAGCAGGAAACCCTGGCCAAGGCCACCCTCCTGTCCCCAGCCCACCTGAGGCCGCTCTCCCTGGAAACTCCAGGCTGGCCGTGATGGGCAGCCTCAGGGGAGGGCTGAGTGGGGACTGATGAGAAACAGACGGTTGAACTCAGGAGGCTCTCTTCCCCCATGGCCCTGGACGAGCACCAAGGTGGACCTGCATCCCTCTTGCCTCCAGAACCGTGGGCCACTGGCCTCTGCTGGGCTCTGTAGAGAGCTCTTCTAAGGCCAGGAAGGAGGCAAGGCAACACACTTCCCTCAGCCCTGCCCAGTGCCCCCCACCCCAGGCTGAAGGTGGCAAGAAGCGGGAGGGAAAGCAAGGTCCCCAGCAGGGGTGGCGTCCTCCCAACCAGGTGGGTCAGCTGTCAGGAGGATTTGACAAAAACAAAATATTAGGAGAGGCTCTGCTTGTGACTCCTCAAACCAGAAGCATCTCCTGGTCTCTTTGTTGCTGGACAGTGAGCTGCAGGCTTGTGCCAGGCCCAGTAGTGAGACTGATAGAATGTAGCTGTTGAGCCCCAGGATGTTCTCTGAGGGCAGAGAAAGCCAGAACCCCACTTGTGTGGTTCCACTTTTGGAAGGTTCAAAGCCAGGCTCAGAGATAGCTCTAGGCTGTGGCAAGATGGGTGCAGGGGCTCCTGGGCACTGGCAATACTTTGGCAGCTGGCACTGGTCATGCGGCCAGTTCAGTGTGGGGAGCTCATTGAGCCATGCACACAGGCGTGTCTGCGTGTGTTCCTAGGGCTGCCCACTGAGGTCCCTTTGTACCCTCTCAGTCATGTCCTTCAGGCCCAAATGCGTTCAAGACCCCTATGACGGTGTCAAGTGCTGGGGAGTGGGGTGACCAAACCAGCAGACGCAGTGGCTTTTGGGAGGCAAACATCTCATGACAGGCAGTCCAGACTATAAACACACATAGGTCACCTGTCTAGTGAGGGCTGCTCAAGAGGAGGTCCAGGGGCTGTGAGGCTTCTGTCCTGCACAGGGCTGGGGACAGGGCACTGTGTCTGAAGGGGTAGGGATGTGGGTGCAGGAGGAGTGTGTATTGGACCCACATCCTGCAAGGACTCAGGGACCCGGTGGCTCTTGGGCAGGGGCAGCCAGGCTGTATTTGTAGTTCCAAGAGATGGACTGGTGGCTATGGGTTATGGTGGTTGAGGACAAGGCTGGGAGGCAGGAGAGTGGGCTGAAGGCCTCCGAGGGCAGGCGAGCAGTAGAAGAATGAGTTTGTTGGCCAAGGATGGAAAGGGGCATGGGTGCATCTCTGCTGACTGGCAGGTTTTTAGTTTGGGGACAGGGAATCTTCCCTAAAAAATGTGGGTGCCCAGATGACTTTACAGGTGGGCACTCCCAAACAAGAAATTAGTCATCCTCATTGGTGAAGCTTCACCTGCCCAGAGCCACTTCTGGTATGGAGCTGGTATCACCCAATACCAGTACCAGAAGAGAGCAGAGGGAGAGAAGGAAAAAGAGAAGGCAATATGCCAGTCTACCTGTGGGCATATACTGAAAAATCCTGAGTAAATACTGGATCAAATCCAGCAGCACCTGAAATGCTGAGTTTCATAGCCATAAGGATGGGTCCTGCACACTTCCACCTGCCAGGAGAGCAGGCACGTGTCTCTTCTCAGCTCTGTCCCAGTCCTTAGGACAGTGCCTGACACATAGTAGGTGCTCAATGAATGTATATGGAATAAATGAAATTGTAAATAAAAGAAGATTGTAACCCAAGGACAAAGAAATTTTGAAATCTATCAATAAAGTTCATTAACAACCGGTGGAAAATCATGTGATTATCTCAATAGATGTTGAAAAGTAATACTAATAAATTCCAGTATTTTTCCTTAAGAACAAAAGAAGTATAGAAACCTGTAGGTTCTGGATAAGGTGGGAAGAGATGGACATCTCTGTAGCCTGACGGAGGGGAGCTCTCCAGAGCTTGCAGTGACCACCAGTGGAAGTATTTTAGCTGCAAGCAGATGGATGCATGATACCACTGTGACGTTAAAAAAAATCGCCAGGTGCGGTGTCTCACGCCTGTAATCCCAGCACTTTGGGAGGCCAAGGTGGACGGATCACCTGAGGTCAGGAGTTGGAGACTATCCTGGCCAATGTGGCGAAACCCTGTCTCTACTAAAAATACAAAAATGAGCTGGGCATGGTGGTGGGTGCCTGTAATCCCAGCTACTTGGGAGGCTGAGGCAGGAGAATTGCTTGAACCCGGGAGTTGGAGGTTGCAGTGAGCCGAGATTCCACCACTGCACTCCAGCCTGGACGACAGAGGGAGACTCCGTCTCAAAAAAGTAAACAGTATTCTGGAAATCGAAGCCCGTACAATAAATCAAGAAAATGAGATGTTGTATAAATATCTAAAAAGATGAAAATCACTATTTGCAGCTAATATGTTACCTACTTGGAAAATCCAATTTAAGAAACATGAGTATGGATAAAAGAGGGAGTTTGGATATATGATCACCATTCACAACTTTTCAACATAGTAAAAACAACTAGAAAATGGAATGGAAACAAAGGATACCATTCAATTTAGCAACAGGAGCCATGAAGTTCTTAGAAATAAACCTGTTATTTTTCAATTCTTTTTTTTTTTTTTTTTTTTTTTTTTTTTGAGACGGAGTCTTGCTCTGTCGCCCAGGCTGGAGTGCAGTGGCCAGATCTCAGCTCACTGCAAGCTCCGCCTCCCGGGTTCCCGCCATTCTCCTGCCTCAGCCTCCCGAGTAGCTGGGACCACAGGCGCCGCCACTTCGCCCGGCTAATTTTTTGTGTTTTTAGTAGAGACGGGGTTTCGCCGTGTTAGCCAGGATGGTCTCGATCTCCTGACCTTGTGATCCGCCCGTCTCGGCCTCCCAAAGTGCTGGGATTACAGGCTTGAGCCACCGCGCCCGGCCATTTTTCAATTCTTTTATGAAGAACACTTTAAAATGTTACTGAATAGCATGTAGAGCTCCTCATGGAAATTTTTTATCATATTGGATGGGCAGATTTCACAGGTGTGTTTTTGAGACAGGGTCTTGCTCTGTCACCAGGCTGGAGTACAGTGGCATGATTACAGTGTTACAGGAAAAAGGGTCTCCATCCAGACCCCAAGAGGGTTTTTGGATCTCATGCAGGAAAGAATTTGAGGTGAACTGCAGAGTGCAGTGAGAAGAGATTATTTATCGAAAGCCGCTCCATTGCAGAGCAGGGCATCCTCAACAAGCAAGCAGAGGAACAGACCTGCTTTAAGTTTTTCTTTAATCGAGGTTTTATCTATGTAAAGACTAAACTAAGCTGTGCCTAGGTGTGAGTGAGCTGACAGCATAACGATTTATTATTCTATTGATTTAAAAAGGATTTGACATTTTAGTGTGCAAGTACATTAAGCATAACTATAATTATCTTGAAAGTATATATTATTGTGGGTATTGGGACATCTAAACTTCCTTTTATAGGAGTTTGTCCTTGTAGGCATTACCAAGCTGCTTCCTTAGCTGTAAATATCTTAGGGCCATGGTTGTGACCTGCAAGGAATGTGTTCTATTAGCCTCAAGATGGAGTTGAACATAAAGTGACGTTATCCTGGCTCTCCTAGACTCCTGCTTCTCTAATATCAGCTCACTACAGCCTGGACCTCCTGGACTCAAGCTATCCTCCCACCTCAGCCTCCCAAGTTGCTGGGACCACAGTGGCGTGCTACCATGCCTAGCTAATTTTTAAAAATTTTTTGTAGAGACGGAGTCTTACTATGTTGCCTGGTTTGGTCTTGAACTGGGCTCATGTGATCTTCCATGTGTTCCAAAGTGTTAAGATTACAGGCATGAGCCTTTGCGCCCAGCAAGATTTAACATTTTAAACGTGTCAGGCTTCTGAAAAACAATTCAGTGTTTTTTAAAAAAACAGACTTCATGAATCTTGAAAATTTCATTTTAAATGTATATGGTGATTCTGGAAATGTATTACTAGTTTACTTTTTAAAAAAGATTAGAGACAGGGTCTCACTATGTTACCTCGGCTGGTCTCTAACTCCTGGCCTTCCAAAGAGCTGGGATCGCAGGCATGAGCCACCATAGCCAGCCTTTGGCCATGTATTAGTTATCCATTGCTGCATGACAAATTTCCCCAGAGCTTAGCAACTTAAAACAGTAACTATTTTTATCTTAGTTTCTGTAGGTTAGAAATTTGGGAGCTGCTTAGCTGTTGCTTTGGTTTGAGATCTCTTGGGAGCTTATAGTTGAGATAGCAGCCAACACTTCAGTCATCTCAAAGTTTGAGGAAGGCTGGAGACTGCTTCCACGGCAGCTCACTCACGTGACTGGCGAGTCCATGATAGGGGCTGGCAGGAGGCTCAGCTCCTCACCACGTGCATCTCCCCATAGGACAGCTTCAGTATCCTCAGTACAGTGGCTGGCTTCCCCCAGAGTGAGTGCTTGGAGAGAGAGAGAGCACTTGGAGAGAGAGTGAGCTGGAAGCCGCAATGACTTCCATAACTTAACCTAGGAAGTCACACTTCCCTATTTCTACAGTATCCTTTTTGGATACACTGGTGATCCTATTTAATGTGAGAAGGGATGACACAAGGGCATGAATACCAGGAGGTGAGAATCATTGGATGCCATCTTGGAGGACAGCTCTCACAGGCAGTCATTTAGTCTACAGGCTTTAAAAGATTATGTGCTGAGAAGCATAATAGTGAAATTGCAGAATGCCAGAGACAAAAACCTCAGAAGCAATTCGAGCGGGAAGACAGAACCTTCAAAGGAGTCACGGGAGCTCGTCACGGTAGAGCAGTAGTGTGCCTATTCTCAGGGGAAGCCATGCTCAGCCTTGAATATTAGGCCTAGCAAAAAATGGTTTATACGAAAAAGGCTAAATAAATAAAGTTTTTAAATGATAAAAGAGAGAATTTGCCCCCGGCACACACTCACCTCAGTTCTGAAGAAATGATCTCAAAGCATCATGAAAGTGATCACAGAACGGCTGAAATGGATAAAGCATGAGAGGAAGCAGGAAGTGCGTGAGTAAACTGAAACTGACAGTCACTGGATGTCACTCATGCACAGAAAAACAAGGATGCAATCAATATATGTACCTGCAATGGCATAAAGTCAAGATGGTGCCTGTGAGTGGAACTGAGGTGTTCTAAGTGCCTCTGAGAAGAGGATGGGGGTGGGCCATGGTGGCTCACACCTGTAATCCCAGTACTTTGGGAGGTCAAGGTGGGAGGACTGCTTGAGCCCAGCCTGGCAACATGCCAAAACCCCATCTCTACAGAAAAATACAAAAAGTTAGCCAGGCATGGTGGCATGTACCTTTAGTCCCAGCTACTTGGGAGGCTGAGGCAGGAGGATGACTTGAGCCTGTGAGGCAGAAACTGCAGTGAGCTGAGATTGCACCACTGCACTCCAGCCTGGGCGATAGAGCCAGACCTTGACCCCCCCCCCAAAAAAAAAGAAAAAGAAAAAGATGGAGTTGCTTGTCAACTTTGGACTTAGATAAGTTTGCCTGCCCTCACTGTTTACAGCAGAAGAACAGAAAGAGATACGGTGGCAGATAGAATCGCCGGTGTGTCATTTAATTCAGTCAATGAAAGTGGACTAAGTGTTCCAGTTAAAAAACAGACACTGTCAGAGTGGGTTGAAAACAACCAAAGTCAGCGGTAGCGCTGTGAACATGTGCAGGGGTAAGCACAGGAATATTCCAACTGCATGGTGAAGATGGACACCATACAGCTGTGTATCAGTTCACATTGCATTTTTCTGTCAAACAGCAAACTTACCTCGGATTTGGGGCTGTGGTTGTGTGGATGCCTGTTGCATGCAGCCGTGAGCGTGAGTCTCAGACCTATTCCTGAGTGAAAGAGGCAAAAAGGTGACAAAATTATTCATGCCATGTGGCTTTGTTCAGAGTTCAAAAGCATGCAGAAGTAAACAAGATATTGCTAATATTCATTAAAGTATAATTTGAAAAAATAAAGATGTTTTAAAATGTTTACTTGGAAAAGGAACCATGCAACAATTTTGGAAAATAAGAGCAAGGCCTGGCTTCTCGACATCAGATCCCGCAACTAAAACTGTGTGGCCCTGTGGCAGAAGGTGGCAGAGACACCACTGCCTGGACAAGTAGCCTGGAAACCGGTGTGTGCATCAGTGTGGGGATTTAATTTGTGCTGAGCATGGCATTTCAGAGTAGTGAGAAACAGACCTTTCAATAAGTGCTATCGGGGTGACTGGGTGTATAGTTAGAAGATGGTAGACTGCGGCTCCATCTCTCAAAAAAATGCACACACAAAAAGCATTAAACCCAAACCATGTAAGCACTGAGAGTATATGAGAGGATATTTAGGATCTGGAAGTGATAAACGCCTTTCGTAGGCCAAACACAAAATCCTTGAAGGAAAAGCCTGACAAATCTAACTGCAGAGTTTTTAAACATTCTGTGCAATCAAAAACATAAAAATGTTAAACGACAGTCTGGAAGAAAATAGTTGTAATATTTATAACATTCAAATGTTTACCAACCAGAATCCATGAAGAGATGCTTGAAAGCAATGAGGAAACTATTTTTAAAATTGAATAGAAAAGTGGGCCAGGCACAGTGGTTCACCATTGTAATCCCAACACTTCAGGAGGCCAAGGCAGGAGGATCACTTAAGGCCAGGAGTTCAAGACTAGTCTGGACAGCATAGTGAAACTCTATCTCTGCAAAAAATAAAAATTAGGCAGGGTGGTGTGCCACTATAGACTCCCAGCTGCTCAGGAGGCAGAACAAGACCCTGTATCAAAAAAAAAAAAAAAAAAAAGGAAAAAAAAAGAATGAGGTCTCCATACTTGCAGTTCCAAAAATTAAATAAATAAATAAATGAAGCAAAACATGAAACAGTGAAGAAGTTGGCAGAAATTATATAAAGGTGGATCTATGTGGAGTTGGTGAGGATGTAAGGAAAGAGTGAGTCTTGGTTTTTCAGAGAACCCACTGTGATCATTATTCACTGTTTAATTTAAATTTATTCATTAATCTTTCCTAATTTCACCTTTAAGCTTTCAGACCATTTGTTTTGCTGTTCTTTTTCTGTCTTTTCAAATAACTTGCACGGTTATGGTTTGGGGACCTTTTTCTAAAGATGTGTTTAAAGCTCTAGTTTCTCAGAGCACAGCTTTGACCATACCTTATGTTTTGGTGTGTCCTGCTTTCACTGTTCATTTCTCAGCCACCATGTCTGGTCTGGCTAATTTCTTTAAAAAAAATTTTTTTTTTGAGACAGTCTCACTCTGTCGCCCAGGCTGGAGTGCAGTGGCACAATCTTGGCTCACTGCAGCCTCCACCTCCTGGGTTCAAGCAATGCTCCTGTCTCAGCCTCCTGAGTAGCTGGGATTACAGGCGCACGCCACTCTGGACAGAGTCTCGCTCTGTCGCCCAGACTGGAGTGCAGTGGCGCCATCTTGGCTCACTGCAAGCTCTGCCTCCCGGGTTCATGCCATTCTCCTGCCTCAGCCTCCCTAGTAGCTGGGACTACAGGCGCCTACCACCATGCCCGGCTAATTTTTTGTATTTTTAGTAGAGACAGGGTTTCACCATGTTAGCCAGGATGGTCTCGATCTCCTGACCTCGTACCATCAACACACGACAGACCCCTCACGCAGGACAGACCCCCATAAGTCATCTCAGAGCACAGGACCTCGCACACCAGACAGACTCCCATAACAACCAGACAGACCCCCACGCAGACAGACTCCCCAGTAACACAGAGCAGAGCCCTCCATAACAACAGACAGGACCCCCCAACGCAGACAGACCTGTCGTGATGAGACTTCGATTATTAATACACAGACACTCCCCATACTCCACGCAGACAGTAACCCCCCTAAACAGCAGACAGACCTCCAACACTAGCCAGACCAACTCCACATTTACATCTTACAGATCATCACCCCCCACCGCAGACAGACCCAACACATAACACAGACTAGAATCCTGTTTTCCATCAACACAGACAGACCCCCCACGGCCACAGTATCCCCATATATCCACAGTACAGACCCACGGCAGCAGACTCCCCATAACACAGGAGTTCTGCACAACTACAAGTGACACAATTAAAATTAATAGCAATAAGGATAACAAATACACTCCTTGACCATGGACGATTCCAAACCACCGCTTGCTTAATTAACGTCCAAAGTGGAAAAAACTAACACAACATTACACTATCAATACTCAGAATACCCAATTCATTTAGCAACCAAACAATAGGCACAAGTGAGTGACAGTGACTTCTCGTGCTATAAACTCCAAATGCTGTTGGTAAGCCTAGTGCAGAAGGAAGGCTTGAACCTCAGCAGAGGATTTTTTTTTTTTTTATTTTTTTTCGAGAGCTAGCCGGGCAATCTATAGGCCACCTCCATCTCTACAAAAAATCATTTGCTGGGGCACATGGTTGACGTTGCACCTACAGTTCCCAGCTACTTTTGGAGGCTGAGCATTGGAGGATCACTTGAGGCTAGGAGTATAGAGCTGCAGTGAGCCGTTGTGAGATGGCTGCACACTGCACTGTAGCCTAGGCACAAAGTGAGATCCTATCTCTAAAAAAATTTAAGAGAAATGGCCGGGCAATCATATGTATGTTTGCCTTCCACTGTGTGCATGCACTGTGCAA